ATATTTTTTATTTATATCTTTTTTTTAATATATATATATATATATATATATGGAGATGGTAAAAGAAATTCAAGCTGCAGCCAGGGACAGCTAACAAGTCATAAGCAGTTGATCTAATTCTTGCAATCAGATCATACATGGCTCTAGTAAATAAGATAACCAGCTAGGCTGATGCTTGCACACACAAGTAGTTCACACACATACCCAAGAGCGTGTGTGCAGACAGTGAGATCTGGAGTATTTTCCTTATTGGAATGAGTGTTATAGTAAGGTTAAAGTTGTGAATATTGTAAATAAGTACTAAATGACAGACCAGTCTTCATGAGTAAATCATTTGTTTCAAATAGCACAGGGACAAACAGCCAGAACCACCTCAGCAAAAGCATTTGCACTTGATAGAAAACTGTTTGTGAATGATGGCTATCTTGTACAATAAAAGACAGCCCTTCTACTCCCTTTAATACATGCACATACCAATGCAGAGTCAAAGAAGTCTTCCAGAAGTACCATCAAAAAACTATTTTCAGTTGGGTCAATGAGGATCACAAATGTTCTTGCTCTTTCAAACCAGGATACCATGTAAAAATTAAGAGAATCAGTTAAAGTCATGCAAGACAAGCTAGTAAACCTTACATTACACGTACCTGCAACAAAAGTTATGCACACAGAACTGCTCTCAACTCCTGCATTTCACAGCCCCATACTGTGTTAAAAGCCACATGCTGTGAAGGAGCTGAGTTTTGTTTGCCACCTGCACACACTGCCACTCACAGCACTCAGCAACACTTGTACCACTTCTCCTCCCCATATTGCCCTCCTCTGTGGTCACAAAGCACCTGCCCTTGGTGCCTGAGACCCCTTGTCGTTTTGCTCTGCAGCATCACAGCTGCTACAAAGTTACCTGCTCCAGAAGTTCTGGAAGTAAAATAACACGTAAGAGATTTTCCAAGCTTTTGATTTTGTATGTTACAAATACATGCTAGCCAAGACACTGAGCAGCATCACACACCTAGGAGCAGCTACAAATCTATGCATCTCTGGAGGTACAGAGATCAGACAAGCAAGAATTGGTTAATGTTCTATCTGGAAAGAAATTTTGAGCTACCATATCCCTAAAGAGCATCACTACAAAGCAATGGTGCAGTGAGTTGGGCTGAGGACACAGCCCTGCTAACAGAGCCTATCAGAGCCTGCCATCATTAGTCTCAAACACAGGTGCCTTTCTTCTGCTACAACTGATGCCAGCTGAAAGCAGCACTGTGCTGATTAGAGAAAACACGATTACAAATTAAATGCAGATCCTGCACTAAACTTTAAAGCAGACCTGCTTAGAGAGCATATCCAGCATTTGAAGTTATAAAAGCACAAAGTTGTTCATTAGTTCCATTACTAACACAGTATTTTGCTGCAGCACTTGAAATTTAACCAGAATATTTCTTTTATTTCACAAATTTATTTTATTCTATTATATGATTTATATGTGTTAAATATTATGTTTCTACTCTTTATTATATTTCTACTATTTCATAAATGAGCTTCATCAATTCATTCTCTCCCTTCACTGTCAGCTTGAAAAAAAAAAAAAAAAAAAGAAACAACAGTCCTTTTAAGTCAGGTGATAGATATAACCATAATATTAGTTTTTGCATTGAAAACAGTGTCAGAAAGGTAGAAGATTTTTTTCACTCAGCTCATGAAATATATCTGGAAAAAAATATATACGTTTTTGGCAGAACCACATAAGCCATGTTCTAGCTCTCACTACAAATCCTTTCCCCTGATATTAAGCAACTTTAGGTCACATTAGTAATTTGCTTAGGGTGTTATACTCATCTTTTCTACAAGTCCTTGCTCAATGAACAAGCTCGTCCCCTGCTGGAGATCGCTCTTGAAGTAGAGCTGGATGCACTTCAGCAGAAGGGACACGTTGTGGAAGTCATTCCTGTCCAGCTCCTGTGGAAAGACGTGGAGCTGTGCTCTGCCATCCCAGTCCGTGGGCAGCAGAGGCAGCATTACAGGGTGGGTAAGATCAGCTCTGGTACACGGGCTGTGGTACTCACCCTCCTCAGTGCTTTGTCGAGCTGGCTTAGGAGAGAGCTGCTGTACTTTTGCAGCGTGTCTGTTTCTCTCTCTTGCAGCAGGTCACTTATCTTTTGGTACCCCTTCCCCTTAAAGGCATCAATGAGCAGTGATTCAAGCTGCGGAGATAAGGGAAACAAACACAGCAGAGATTTAACAGAAGCAAACATTTGAAGCACTGGAGGACTGATTATGAGAAAACACTCACAGTGCCATTTATAAAGTTGGAGAATTGAAGACTTTGTCTATATTTACTTCCGTTAAATAACTGACAGCTCTACTGCTGCATTCATATAACCAAGTATTTTTAAGTAAGTATATGCAGGTAGACATTTGCAAAATAAAACTAAAGATGTACTTAAAACTCCTTACATAGTCTTCTGCGTGGGCTGCCATGTTGCTGCTTATCTCTCTACTCCGTCCTTCACTGTTTTCCTTTCTTTGAAAATAAGAGGAAGCACCAACAATTAAGAAAAATAAAACACTTTTCTGCTCAAAACCCGACAAACTTTCAGTCCCCGTATCCTTCCCCCAAGGCTCATTCTACCTCCTAAACGAAACTTCAGCATCTTCTGGGGGCCTTTGAGACCCACAGAGTCCCGGCCCGGACTGCGGGCTTCCCCACCCACCGCCCGGGGGAAGCGACCGTCGGCGTTCCGCAGTGCCGCGAGTCCCAGCACCGCTAGAGAAGGGCTGAAACTAAAATCCTCCTCGCTCGCAGCCACCTCTCCCCAAAACCGTACCTGCATCCCGTCTCGGTGCGGCTGTAGGGCCGGCTTTATTTCGCGTTAGAGAGGGAAACGGAGTGCCTTTCCCAGGGGAGAGGAGCGAACGAGAAAAGCCCTTGGCCAGGTGGGATCGTTTAAAGCATTACGGGAGCACGAAGCACCCAGCGTCTCCACAGCATCACAAAAGCGGTTTTTTGTGTTGTTTTTTTTTTTACCTTTCTGTTTCTGAGAACTGAAACAAATAACAGCCCCCCCCCCCGCGTTTTTTTTAACGGAAGAAGCATCGATTGTTTTTCACCCCTAAAAAGCCACCGTGTGTAACTTCCTAATTAACTGCAACCCACGATGGCTCTCTCAGAGGGAGAGTTCCCAACCTGCAGCAAAAGCAGCCCCCAGGGCCGCTCCAAGCAGCCCCGCGCCGCTGTGGCGATATCGGGGGGCTGCAGCCCTCCCCCCATAGGCGGCGGGGAGCCCCCCTCTCCCCAGCACCCCCAGGGCCGCCCCCGGGGGCCGGGCGGGAGGTGCGGGCCGCCCCGAGGCGATAAAAGCGGGAGCCGCCGCCCGCCGCTGCCCCCAGCATGAAGCTCACCTGGGACATCAACGACCCCAAGCTGCCGCAGGTACCGGGGCATGGCTGCGGGTGGGACGTAGTGCTTTAATACACGGTCTGATCCAGCTGCGTGCGAGCTCCTAAAATGACCTCCTTTCTCTGTCTTTCCCCTGTTAAGCACGTCCAAAGAATCTAAGGTTGACTGTTTTCTGCTGATATCATCCAAGGCATCTGGATATTGTACGTGTTTGCTCACATCTGATTGAATGCGTTTGGAAATGATTGGTTTTTTCCCCTCTGTTTGTAAGCTCCTAATATGTTTTCAAGCCACTTATTTTTCATTGCACGTCTAATTTTACACATAACGTGCAGTTACAGAATGGGTTAATTCTGCAAACCCCTGATGGCTCACATGTGCTGTATATGTGTGTTAAAGGGACGCTGCAGGAAATTGTTACTTTTGCTGTGTTTGGAGTTGAAAATATTAGGCGTTACTTAATTTTTATGGCAACTACGTTTTGATGAGGAATGCCAGCAAGTTGGTGACATCCCAAATGGGAGCATTCTTTCTCTGAGCCACTACTGATATAGTGGAACATATGTGTTTGTGGGTTGTTTTGGGAGGTTTTTGTTTGTTCTTTTCTTTCCTTGTTCTACTTGCTATGGATGCACTTCAAGTAACTGCTGTCCAACTAAAACTTGAAGCTTTCAGTCTTCAGGTGCACAGCTCCACAACGAGCACACAGGTGGTGGGCAGCCAGGGAGTGCTGGTAATGAGGCAGTGTCCAACAGCTGGGCAAACCTCACTGTGCAGGGGCATTGGTGGCAAGAGACCCTTTTATTACTGGTCACCATAGAGCCATTATGGTTGGAAAACCAATTAAGCTCTTCTAGTCCAACCACCAACCCATCCCAACGGTGCCCACTAACCCATGTCCCTCGGTGCCACATCCACACGGTTCTTGAGCACCTCCAGGGACAATGACTCCACCACCTCCCTGGGCAGCCTGTGCCACTGCCTCGCTGTTCTTTATGAGAAGAAATCATGCAAAAAGAGAATGGCTCCTGACTCTCGAGGCATGGAAGCTTAGGCTGCATTTCACTTGTTACAGGCTCTTTCCGAATAAGCTATTCTTTAAAAAATACTTTTCCACTGTTTCCAAATTTGCTGCTTGAGAGGTGTTAGAAAGAAGCCTTGGGACAAAACCCCAAGGTGGCACGATCATAAAACAGGCTGAGCTGGAAGGGACTGAATTGGAGGATCCTGAAGTCCAACTCCCAGTTCCGTACAGGACTGCCCAAATCCAGCCCAATGCCTGAGAGCACTGCCCATACACTCCCTGACCTCCAGCCCGTGGGGCCGTGCCCTGAGGAGCCTGTTCCATGCCCACCACTCCTCTGGTGAAGGACCCAACCTGACCCTCTCCTGGTGCAGCTCCATGCCATTCCCTCGGGTCCTGTCACTGTCACCAGAGAGCAGAACTCAGCCGCCATCAAGTCTCCCCTTCTGCTCATGCTCCTTTGCTCTCCCTGTCACAGGAGCCCGAGCGCTTCGATGCCTTCCAGGAATGGCCGGACGGCTACGTGCGCCTCATCTACTCCAGCGAGGAGAAGAACGCGCAGCGGCACCTGAGCGGCTGGGCCATGCGCAACACCAACAACCACAACTGCCAGATCCTGAAAAAGTCCTGCCTGGGTGTGGTGGTGTGTGCAGGGAGCTGTGCCCTGCCCGGCGGGGCCAGGCTGCAGCTGCGGCCCGCCATCTGCGACAAGGCGCGGCAGAAGCAGCAAAGTGAGAGGGGGGACCTCATTCCCTCGGCTGGGCCTGATTTCTGAACACAGATCGGCCTTGCCTGCTTGAAAGTCTGCTTTGCACGGGTTGCGTGTGTTTGCCTGCGTTGTGAAGAGTGCGAGGGATGTATTTAGTTCCCAATTTTGTCAGTGTATGCCTGTAAATAACTAAGGACAAATGGGCCTACGATGCTCTCCATCGCTAGCTTTTGTTAAGTCTTCAGCTCCAGTCCTTACCATTCGGTTATGTTTGGAACTCTGCAGCTTGTTTATTTCAGCATCATACCTCAACGTGAATCTCAGTGAAGTGCACTGTACTTGCACTCTGCCTTCCCTCCAAACCAGTGTTTTCTCTATCTGTACTTGCAGAGAAAGCCTGTCCGAACTGCAATGCAGCCCTGCAGCTCATCCCTTGCCGCGGGCACAGTGGCTATCCTGTCACCAACTTCTGGAGACTGGATGGCAAAGCAATATTTTTCCAGGTAAAAAGCACACATTTCAAATTATATACACATATATGTGCACGGATGGAGAGAGCATGGTGGAGTTCTAGTCTGTGCATGGATTCCCGTGTATTATAAACATGGGCACAACTAATCAAACAGCAGCACTTGGCTGTGTTTTTAAAAAAGCAGTGTATTTTTAAAAACACTTGAGTTTAACGTTTTCCATCTTTGCTATAACACCATCATAGACGTCCAACGTTCTTTTGATGGCATTACACAAATGGGAACACATGCCTACACCTCGGCGTGTGTCTGATGACCGAATCTCAACAAGGGCCCAGGATTTATTTTCTACTAAGATTAAAAAATGAGGAAAATCTCACTTAAGACCTAACGTAAAAAGTTCATTTTATGTGGAAAAGAACATTCTTAAAAGGATTTAAAACTAGCTGAAAAAAAAAAAAACAATATTCAGAAAACTGTTTTGAAACTTCATATTGATTTCTTGCTTTTTCTTTTTAAGCCATGTGAGGACAAAAACTTCAGAAAAGCTTCTGTTTTGGGATGACATTCTCTGCTGAATGTGTTGTTGGTTTTTTTTTTTCCCTGACCCAGACTCCAGTGAACTCTATTCTTCCAGTCAGTAAATGGAAGCAAACTGATGACGTTTCCAAATTCTCACCTGTTATTTATCATTCCTGTTAATGAGATATGCTGTTGTACAGATGCAAAGACTGAAAAGATCTTTATCAAAATTGATGATACTTCCTCACTTAGAAGTTAACACCTATCTGAGAAACGATGGCATTTTAAAAGCAGTTTTAAGTTTCCTAGTTTGTGTTAGGGACTACATGAAGGTCCACTTAGAAAAGTGTAATAGGTAACTACATGCATCATACATTTTATCATATGTGAATATAGCTTTGGATACATCTGTGTATTCACAAATATTGCAGTAGATATTTCATTCTTCCATGGCTTTCCAGGGTGTGTATCTCAGTCTCCTTCAAGAAGGTGGTCATTGCTTTAAAGTAGAGAGAAATTTCTTTAAAGCCTGTTATTGTCATTTTAGTGGCAGATGTTATCAAGCAGAACTGAGTGCAGAAAACCAATTAAACTCAATTTATAACACTTCCCCACCATCACCCCTTTGGTTCTGATCAGCTACTTCTGAATCCCTAGGCATGGGTAGAGCCTTTGCTCCTTCATCATTCTGTCTCACAGCTCTGCAGTAATCACTGGCTTCTCCTAAATCAGTTCTTCCTTTTCTCTACCTGCAAGTCACAACTGAGTTTTATTAATTTATTTCTAAATTTAATCCTTCCTTGTTCTTTAGTTCCTCCTCTGAACTCTCTTGTGCAAGACTATTGGTTATGTCATGGATACCACTCATTTTATTACTGCATTTTTCTCTTACTTGCAATTCACATCATCTTCTCTCTCACTTGCAATTCACATATCATTCTTTGATTATCCTTATTTAGGCTAAAGGAGTCCATGACCACCCTAGACCAGAGAGTAAATTGGAGGCAGAGGCAAGACGAAGTGCAATTAAGAAGCATATGTTGTCTTCTCAGAATTCCCAGAAAAAGAGACTTCTAAACTCAGAGGTAAGTCAAGGTTTTGAGTCAGTTAAAAAGTTGTCAGAAGGACATACTGGGAAGTTCAGGACACCACAAAGTTTTATACCATGCTACATTTGTTTATTTGGGACTGAAATGATCAGTAGTCCAAGTGTCAGGATATGCACTGTAGGCAGAATCCACTCCTGAATCTTAAAGCTCTTATCCTTTCCAGGCTGGAAGATACCATGATAGCAGTGGTTATGTCAGTAACATGCAAAATCTGCCCTCCATAGATGTCCCAGAAAGAGTCAGCATCGTCACAGACACCAGTTTTTCAATTCCAGCTCAGTCTTACCCTTTGCCGCAAAATACCGACCTCTACAAGATGTCTTATGACTCGGCCAGCTTCCAAGAGGACCAGCTGTTGCCATACCAGAAGTGCCCCAATCCGAGGATCTTTGTGCCCAGGCCATGTAGTTACGAGTTTGGAGTTCCTCCCTTCATTAGCTCCAGCCCTTACCCATCATGTTATAAAGATCCAGCAAATCCTCCCCTCGATGCAGACCCTATCAGTTTGAATGGATCTCACTATAATTCCTTGACCAGCATTGACAAGAGCTTTGACCATACTGGTAGGCATTATGGACTGAAACCAATCTGGGGGAAAACTGGTAGTGGAGACAGGAGCGACTATGGTCAGATGCAAACAAACACTAACCACCCTTATTATGGTGGTGAGTACTCCGGCAAATACGGTCCCAGCCCCTCTCCCATGGCCCCACCGCTACAGACTGTCATCACAACCACCACAAAAGTGTCCTACCAGGCCTACAAGCCATCCATGCTGAAATACAGCGACAACCTCTGCGACATGAAAAACCTTCAGAGCTATACACATGTGGCTGAAAATGTCTCAGGCACTATCTATTCAGGGATGAAGATTCAGGAAGACTTTGGGATGATCAAGTCGGCATTGCTCTACCAGCATGACCCAATCACCACAAAGTCTGAACCAGTGGAGAGCGTGGAGGCCTATCGGTACGGGATACCACTGGGGAACAGCTATGCTGAGCATGAAGGACAAGCCTTAAGGTTTGAGAGTAGTGAATATTGACTAAATGTTACCTAAATTCTATTGGGATGGTCAACAGAGAAATCAACGGTTGCGCTAATGGTATGTTGTTCGAGATTTGAAGAGGTGTGAGAAAGCAGTGCATTGTTGCTTTCTGGAACTGAAGCATATTCCCCATGCTCCCATCCCCCTCCCCCCCCCAAAAAAAATCAATATATGTACCTCTAAAGTAGTATGAAATGTCCAGACATGACTGGGAGACGGTGGTGTGGAGACAAAGCACCTCGGGAAGAAAGCAGACTCTTCTAATGGAGACTGTGATCTGTTTAGAGCCACTGTTCCTGCCAGAGGTTGGAGAGAGAGTGCTCCAACTAGGAAAGGAAAACACACCCCAGGCAATTGAAAAAGAAAATAGAAGTGGCTACAGATTACAACCAACAGAAAGAGAGTGAGACAAGTTGCAGGATAATTTATCTGAATGATCTATCCACCTGCCGTGATCTATGTAAGGAATGCAAAAACTAGTGGGCTAGGGAAATGATAAACCCGCATGGAAACTGCATTTTTGTTTAAAAGTAGCAGGTCAGTGTGAACAAACCTTGTCAATTACTACTACTCTTCTCCCTGCCTCACCATTAGGTCTTTCTCTTTCCTCCAAGGGACTTCTACAAGCAATTCCTAACTCCCCCTTCTCCCCCAACAGTGATGTTCTCCTGGGAATAAAGCAACCAACAAAGCAAGAGGTCAAAAACCAAAATTAACAAAGAAAAGTTGAGAACTTGCAGCTCTTGGCTCTCAGCTAATGAAACCCTTCTCCAGTACAGTAGGCCCAGAAGAAGACAGCATTGCTGGTTTCAATTTACATATTTTGGAAGCTGCTGTCTAGTGCTGTTTAATGAAACCAGAACAGTATGGCTTGCAAGAAAGCTGTGTATGCAGGGATTTGGTTGAGGTGACAGCATCAATTATTATTTACTGAGTATTTTAACTTTTTAGGCACTCAAATATTTTGGAAAATATTTTTGTACATTTTTGCTTTTTTTGAGCATGCTACTGTATGCTTTTAATAAACATGCTTTTAAGCACAAAACAACACATAATACAACACAAGTGGTTCACCAGTTGGCTTCAATGTGCAGAATCTTCCCGTGCTGTCTTCAAATTAATAACAAAAACTGATTAGTCTGGTATGGTGTACAAACACTTGGGTTTTAGTCATTGTATTTGGTGTACAGCTTTTTAAACTTCATGTCTTTTATGAGAACAATGCACATAGTCTGACACTTGAAATGCAGTTGCACAGCAGATTAACCAACAACATTCAGCAGTGGACTGATCAGCATTTTAAAAGCTCAAGTCCCTTGAAGCTGGAATTTATCAAGTGATTAAATGAATTCATCTACATCAAGCTTACGTCGACTTCTAGTGTATTTGCCATCTGTCTCACCAGGCTCTTTTTAAATTTTTGTGGCAGTTCTATAAGGTGGTTTAGATTACAGAAATGAGTCAGGTGAACAACATTAGTTAGATAATTAGCCTACACACTAAGCTAAGCAAATGGCAAGTTGCTGCCCAGAAAATTTGAACCAAGTTTTGGGTTCAGAAACACGCACACCATACCTATACACAGAACTGAAACTTCTTATCTGTACTCTCAAACATAGCAAGTCGGTTTGGGAGTAGAATAAAAATTATGACAAAGTTGCCCAACATTAGAAGAAAAATAGGGATATAGGGGGGGAGAGGAATTAAGGTCCAGCAAAATGACTGGAAAGAGACTCGTAGAAGATCTCAAAGTCAAAGAGTTGTAAAGATGTAAGCTACCCCATTTTGTGGCTTTGGGGAAATTAGATGACTGTGACTCTACCTTCAGATGTGCTAAAAATGTGCCAGGAGAAGCTGTGGGGGTTTTGTGCTGTTAATATACTGGTATAAAGCTTGTTGCTGTACCTGTGTGCTTAAAATTGTTATGCTATATGCTCTCAAAACACAGCCTTTTAAGCAGAACTTTGTACATCAGCTGAGTAATTGCAGACAACTGTTAAAATGCTCCTTTTGGGGGGTAGATTTATGTGTAATAAACACAGCAGCTGTTCAAGCACAATACAAAGTTATGGTAGCAATTAGCTCACTGTATCACCTGTGGCCCTCAAATAAAAACTCTGAAGATTATTGCAGCCTCTCTTTGTGCTGCTGCTTTTCATCTACAAGTGTCTGGGACAATGTACCTATGCCTTAACCTTTCCAGATAAAAGAGCAGATGGATTCAATTTGGTGTCGTACATAGTTTTCCGTCCAAAATACAGCAATTGGAATGCAATGCCAGCTCCTGTAACAAAAAGCTGAAATCGAGTGCCTCCCTGCTGGTTTATAGAGCTGTGGAATTGACTTTAAAAGCGTGTTTCTCGAGTGAAGCAGCAGCCTTGAAGAAAGATGCACTCCCTTCAGTCCTCAAGTAGCTTCTCCACTCACTGTGCTCCTCAAGCACTGTTTCTGGGCTGACCGCAGATGTCCTCACATCGAACCAATTCCTGCTGTCACAGTGTAGCTGTGGAGGGGAAGAATTGCCCTTTCTGAACTCAGCCACCTGTGGCTCCAGCTTCACACCAACAACAAGAGCCCTGTTGAGGAAAGCACCAGCTGTCCCCAGGCTGAAGATGCCCTTTATATCAAAAAGCAGCCTTTTAATGGCAAGGCTTGAAAGCCTGGGTGTATAAAGGATCCCTTCCCAGAGACAAGAGGCCGCTCAACAATTTTTTGAGTGCTTCTGTTGATCTCAGCGGTTGCTCTCTGCTGAGGCACCCATTGAAGCCTTCATCATCTCCACAGGCAGTAGTGGGAAGGCGGGAAGCAGGGCTCCTCTGGAGACATTAATGGTGCAGCGGGGCAGAACTCCTGAGTTTGCTTCTTGCTTTTTCCCGAGTGGGTTCTTGGGGTTTCTTTCTGGATTTATAGGGTTTTCCTCTGTGTCTTTTCGGGGGGAGTTATCTAATACAAATGAGCTACTCCCATTCACAAAGCTGGGCCATGCAGCCGGACACAACAAATTTCCAGGGGTACATCTTCTGAGGAGACGAGCCACACACCTTTGAAAGCTCGTGTGTCATTCATGTCATTAGATACCACGAAAAAATTCTCTACTCACCGAGCGGTGAGGTGCTGCCCCATCCCTGGAGGTGTCCAAGTCCAGGTTCAATGGGGCCCTAGGGAGCCGAGCAGGTGGGGGGCAGCCCTGCCCATGGCACAGGGTTGGAACTCTAAGATGCCTTCCGATCTGTGTTTCCCATCGTTATCAGCAGCAGCAAGATGCAGATAAAGGAACCAAGGCCTTAGGATTGGCATAGTTCTTCCCAAGGGCGAGAAGTTAGCCCAGGGTGTTAGAGCCCACCTACCTGAGAATTAGTGAGGACAGCACATGGTGTTGTCCCAGCCCTGGACCTCTGAGTTCTTCCAGCTCTTGAACAAAGGGAGAAGGAGTCAACTGCTGTTAATGCAGTACTACGGTTAAAACTGAACAAAAAGGGGAGGGCATTTCAATATGGCACCTCCATGGGCTTGCAGGAATCCATAGGCAACACAGCCATCAGTGGGAAAATAACCTAATCCAAAATAACCTAAACAAAAGCACAATGAAGTTCACACAGCACCAATTAATTACAGCATACCCACTGTCACTGCCTGCAAAGCCATTTCCAAGCCATGATGCTTAGCATTCCAGCCAAGCATGAACACTCAAGGAGGACTCTTTCAACAGGAAATTAGCAGTGAGTGTGCTCACGTTCCCCTGTAAGAAGAGCGAGCAAACAGCTGCATCACAGCTTAACAAAACACACTGCAGCCACGATCAGCCTTTGGCTCAGGCTTTTAACCCCCCGCTCTCCCACGTGATCACGGAGGGGCGTGTCCCTCCATAGGCCCCGCTCACTCGCTGCATCGCCCCGGCAACGGGACGAAGCGGCGGGGCGGCGGTTCGAGATTGGCGGCGCCGGGCCGGAGCGCTGCGGTGAGCGGGCGGCGCGGGGCTGGGGCAGGAGGCGCGGGTCAGCGGTGCGGGTCAGCGGTGCGGGTTAGGAGCGATGTTTCGCTTAGAGACGTGTGTGGGATGTGCCCTGCCCCGCTGTGAGCCGGGCTGCTGAGCTCCGCGTTGGCAGACAGGTTGGTGTAAACCGGGTTGTGTTTTCCCTGCCTGCCCGCGCTCTCTCTGTTGGAGTGGTGTATTTCGGGTTGTGTTTTAATGTGGGCAGCCCGTTTAATGTGCGGAGGTGGAACGTTTCGTTATGGCTATTTCAGGTATGGCAGAAATGCAGATAGTTGGCTGTTATTAATTCTGATTTAAACTGAAAGGCAGGCATTTATAATCACTAGTAGTATTCCTTAAAATTAGAAAATACGTAGTAGTTCAGATTTTCTGAGTTTACACAAATCAGTGGATGGTTTCCAGTGTTTGCATTTTGTCCTCTATTTGTCCTCTGCTTTCATCCTTCCGTAATCCCGTGTGAGGAGATTATAGGCAGCATGTCATTAAGAGTATAAAAGAAGCTGTTGTTTGCAATAGGATTTCCCATCTGTTTGGGAGACAGAACTATTATGACAACTTTACAAAGCGGGCAGATGTTGACTGTAGCAAAATTTGGTTGTCTAGAGCATGGAAACGTGGAATCATAGGACAGCTTAGAATGTAAAGGACCTTAAAACCCAACCCAGTCCCAACCCCTGCCTTAGGCAGGGCTGCCCCCCCCCCCGCTCTGCTCCCCAGGGCTCCATCCAACCTGGTCTCGAGTACCTCCAGGAATGGGGCACCACAGCTTCTCTGGGCAGCTGTGCCAGTGCCTCTCTGCCCTCTGAGTAATGATTTCTGCCTAACATCTCACCTCAGTTTTCTCTCTTTTAGTTTAAAACCTTTCTTGCTTGTCCTATCACTATCAGACTGTTAACATAAGTGACTACGTCAACTTGTTCATGAGAGTCATCAGTAGAACAGCCTGGCATGCATTCATGTTATGGTGAATGTATGTGATGTGTATTAAGGTTCTTAAATATTGATGTCGAGTTATGTAGTTTTCATGTGATTTTATGCCTTTCCACAGAGCAATTTTGACATTTCTATTTGAGTACTGAAGGAACATCCTGAAATTTCACAGCTAAGCTGTGTGCGGATGGACAAGGCACAGCTGGAACTGGACTTGGCAAAGGGGTGCAAAGAAGAGAAAGAAAGGCTTCTGCACCAACCTGACATCTGGTATATCAACCAGAAGAGGTTGTTCAGTGCTTTTTCTGGGCAGGCATTTCTCTTACTGAGCAGATGCCTGCTCCAGCTTGTTGGCTTCACGCTCCTAAAGGGCCAATTTTATTGTTGCATTTTGCCAGACCTGTAAATCTCAAGCCTGAGATTTGTCACCTACTGAGTCTGAGTGCCTTAATCTGTTTGGACAGCCTTACCAACCTGTAGCTAATTCTGGCATGAGGATAAAGTTGCGTGCTGAATTTTGCATCTCTTGCTGAAGTAGGCTGACAGTGCATGTCAACTCACTTGAGTTATTTTGGATTTTTAAACACCAGATACATAGAGATAATGCTGGAATTAGGTTAACAGTAGATGGTACTTAAGCATTTAGGTTACAGTAAATAAATGCTGCAGTGAGCAGTTGTTAGATTTTCCTGGGATTAGTTAAATTTCTTCTATTCTGTAGGAGTAGGGAATGATGACAGTAATCTTGCCTGTCTGTTGCTTACTGTGACCCTAATCCTAGACTCAGCACCTGAAGGATTTAAGGTAACTAGTCATACTGAGGTGTTCTATTTCAAAGAACACAAATAGATCTCAGGTTACTGTTATAAAGAAATTACAGGGTGTCTTTTGCCTTATTTTTTTTGCACTTATTTTTTTTTTCCAGGATCTGCTGAGAATTACCATGCTCTTCTACCTCTCAGTGGATCTCAAAATACATGTAATTCAGAGGAGACCGGTGACCATCCTGCTCTGTTATGAGGAAACATCCAGCAACCTCAGGCTATCTGGAAGAAGATTTCTCTAAAAAAAAAAAAAAAAAAAAATCAAAAGGCAAAAAAATCCTTCAAAAATACAGAAGACATCCAGAACTTCATAAATTAGTAATTGTAGTTGGATAAGAAAAAATGAACCGTTACACAATCATGAAGCAGCTGGGTGATGGCACCTATGGCAGTGTGTTGATGGGAAAGAGCAATGAATCAGGAGAGCTTGTGGCCATCAAACGGTACGTAACGTCTGCACAGAGTAAAGATACTTGGAAAGATGTAAGGTCTTGACTTTATTGCTCTATGCAGTCTGTGTACAAGAAAAAAAGAATGTCTCTTTTTAAAAATATTTAAATCAGTTGCTTAAGTGAGTGAGTGTGGGTCATACTTCCTTCTAATACATCTGGAGATGCGTTCATCTGTGTAACTCACAGGCAAATGGAGCAATGTTTTATGAGAAATGTTTTCCATTCTTGGTATCTCAGGATTTGGAATTGTTTTGTGTGATTATTTTTTTTTAAATTATTTTTTTCAGGTTGGGGATTTAGAAAGGGAATAGTTTTGAATGAAGATGAATGCCTCTTAATTGAAATATTAGTTTTAAATAGCTGCTCTGTAGGATCTAGAACTGTACAGAAATGCAGTAAAGGACATGGCATTCACAACCCAGTCCCAAAATCTGATTAACACCTAATTACCCATATTTTTACCTAAGACTTCCAAATAAACACAACAGTCTATGTACAAGTGTAATACTTTTATGTACGAATATTGCTTGAAAAAATGACATTATTTTTTCACTATTAATATCTTTGAATAGGCTTGAAAAAAAAGGACTGATCTGTACAGTTGACTAATTATAATTTCAAGCAGTTAAGATGCTTTGCAGATCTCAAGTTTTCTTGTTTTCCTAGAATGTGTGACTTGGGCAAAAAGAAGTAGCTTTTCTTGTTTCAAAATGCATGTTTTATTTTCAGTGTCACTGTTGCTGTCCTCCTTATTAGGGGCACAATTCAAGTGATGCAACAGGATTGTGCGTCCTCGATGCTTTTAGAAATACTTTATAGTATAAGTTGTCTCCTGTTAACTACTCAACTACAAATGTTTGCAACAGTCAATCATGAAATATTTTAAATTTCTAATAAATGTAAGAGTTGTGTTTGCTTTGATTATGTTGCTGAAAGGTATTGTGGAATGTTTTAAATTTGGTCCAAGAAAGAGGTAGTGCTGTATTAAGAACATAGCATAGCTGGATCTTGTTTTGTTCTCAAAGCATCCTCTGTTACTGAAAATACTTTCTTTGACTTTTATTTCAGAATGAAAAGGAAGTTCTATTCATGGGATGAGTGCATGAATTTGAGAGAAGTCAAGGTAAAATGGTGAACATACCACACTTGAAAATAAGTGTCTGGTTAGGTCTGTCTGAAGGAAAAGGGCTTAGACTATGCACAAGCATCAGGCCAAACTCAGTGAACTTTTTAAGTGAGAGTCACAGGCTCCAAAAGCTGTGCGTTTCTGGAACTCCTAGAGCTGCTTCTGCTTTGTGGAATATCCTGCCATTCTCATGCAGTGGCCATGTCTTGTAGCCAAGCCTCTTGTCTTTGAGAGAAGACAATTAATTTGACATTTTTCGTGTGTTTTACCAGCCTACTCTAGCATGTGTTTCTAGGTTTTTAGGCAGTCCTCATATCATGTATTTGGGACACTTTTAAAAACACTGGAAGTCTTGGCTACCCAAGTGACAGAATAAAGCCTGACCTTGAACACTTTGCTTTAAATTTCAAGTTGTCCCATGTTTCAGGCCTCTGAATTTCTGTAAATACAAAACTCCCTAACAGAGGAATTGAGTGTCCATAACTTGAATATCCACAGTTTAGGTTTAACTTAACGGAAATAGCACATAATGTCTCCAGAAATGAAACCTGCAAGGGGGAGTATCCTTATTCATAAAAACAGAAAGCTTTTGACACATGGTGTTCTCCTGGAGAAACTGGCAGCCCAGGGCTTGAAAAGTGCATTGTTTGCTGGGTAAGGAACTTGCTGGATGGCCAGACCCAGGGAGTGGTGGTGAATGAAGATAAATCCAGCAGGTGACCAGTCATGAGTGATGTTCCCCAGGCATTAGTACTGGGGCCTGTCCTGTTCAGTATCTTTATTGATGACCTGGTGCACCCTCAGTAAGTTTGCAGGTGACACCAAGTTGGCAGTCTATCTTTCTAGGGGGGTAGAATGGCCCCATGGAGGCATCTGGACAGGCTGGATAGCCAGGCTGAGGCCAATGGTATGAAGTTCAACAAGACCAAGTGCTGAGTCCTGCACTGTGGCCACAACAACCCCACGCAATGCTGCAGGCTTGGGACAGAGCAGCTGCAAGTCTGGGTGGAGGAAACGGACCTGGGGGTGTTGGTTGACACTTGGCTGAACATGAGCCAGCAGCATGCCCAGGTGGCCAAGAATGCCAACGGCATCCTGGCTTGTGTTAGAAATAGCATTGCCAGCAGGGAACTGATCATCCCTCTGTATTCAGTACTGGTGAGGCTGCACCTCAAGTACTGTGTTCAGTTCAGGGCCCCTCACTACAAAATAGACATTGAGACCCTGGAGAGCATCCACAGATGGGCAACGAAGCTGCGAGGGGTCTGGAGCACAAGTCTTATGAGGGTGGCTGAGGGAGCTGGGATTGTTCAGTCTGGAGAAGAGGAGGCTCAGGGGGGAACTTATCACCCTCTACAACCACCTGAAGGGAGGTTGTGGCAAGGTGGGGATTGGCCTCTTCTGTTTTGTGACTAGTGATAGGACTAGAGAGAATGGCCTTAATTTGTGCCAGGGGGTATTCAGGTTACATATTAGGAAAAACCTCTCTGAAAGAGTGGCCAAGTGCTGGAACGGGCTGCCCAGGGAGGTGGTACAGTCACAGTCCCTGGAGTGCTCAATAAATGTTTAGATGTTGTACTGAGTGATGTGGTTTAGTGTGCAGTGTTGGTGGTATGTGGACGGTCAGACTGAATGATCTTGGAGGTCTTTTCCAACCTTGGTAATTCTATGATCCAAACAAAAAAATTGCTAGGCTTTCTTACTCAGTTCTCTAAGCAAAAGTTGTTACAGGTGCAGAATGGCCTTTCATTCTAGGCAGTTAAGTTCTTGTGTTATTCTTCACCTCAGCTATGATGTAATCCCCACAAAGAGAATTTTAAGCTGTTTAATATTTGCTGCTTTTATTTTGAAATTAATTTAAAATGCTATTTTGTTAGGAAAAGGGAGATTACAAGATAATTAGAGGCTACCTGATGGGTATGTTCTGTTAATTCCTTACTAGAAACTTTTACGTAGTACACATGCAGCTCAGGTAAGGAGATAGTCAATGTCAAGTTATCTGAAACCCTGCATTTGTCTCTGAAACAGTCCCTGAAGAAGCTAAATCATGCCAATGTAATAAAATTGAAAGAAGTCATAAGAGAAAATGACCACCTTTACTTCGTGTTTGAATACATGAAGGAAAATCTCTATCAATTGATGAAGGACAGGTACGTCTTTCTCGGAGAACAAGTAGTGTGCTATCATCCTTTATGTATGTTTCTTACACTGTCTTGAAGAACATACTGGAATTTCTGTTTGAGGCTCTTGCAGTGCTACTGATGTGAACAGAATCTGCTGCACCTGCTTATTTGAGGGTAAAATTCTGCACTGCTTAGCATAACAGCATTGCACATTGTAATATTCCTGGGAGTAAGACTTTATGAAGTTATTCATGTGATAACTTGCATGTCTTTTGTATTTATTGAGCCAAAAGAGAAATTCCAAATACTTTTTTCTTTATTAGCCTTCATTAACACATGAAGGATTGGACCAATGCCATTCATTCTGCTTTTGCTAATGGGTTTGGCTTAAGGTGGGGGTGATCATCTTCTCGTGAACATGCACGAGTGCACATGAAGATCATTATATGTGCTGTATGATGTGGCAGTCTTGGAGAAACAGCACAAAGCAATGCTTTCAGGTGGACTGTAGATTAGGACTTGCCATTTTAATAATATTTTTCTTCAAATTATTTTTGCCTTTACTGTGTTTCCTTCAGGTTCTGTCGTGTACCTTTATCTCCTTGTGCACAAAGCCTTTCAGTAGCTGTTAGCAACATTAGTGTGATGTTCACTGACAGCTGCAAAGCACTGCTCTTGCTCAGGCTTCCATAAGAGCACCACTGGGTAGCACATACACAATGGTGCTGTGCAGGTGCTTGCTCTGATACAGTGTGTGCATTCATTTGGTCAAGCATATTACAGGGCAGCCAGATTCATCTGCAAGTAGACATCTCTGCTGAGAAGTCAGTCTGCAGTAAAGATAGTGAGCAGAATTATGGCTTGGAAGCAGTATTTTTGACATATGCTATGTGAGTCTATGTATGTAAAACTTAACAGGTCTGTTTTAATCTGTTTGGGACACACTGTGCAAAATGAGGAAGTGTGTGTTCTGTCTTACAGGAAAAAATAGTCTCTTAATTATGTGAAATTATTAATCTTTCTTCACAGAAACAAGTTGTTCCCTGAGTCAGTCATCAGGAACATGATGTATCAGATACTGCAAGGGTTAGCTTTCATCCATAAACATGGTAGGTTTGCCACTGGAGTTTGCTTGTGTAACGCTTCCATAAGAAAAAAAAGACAATGCACAGTAATAACATGAATAAAAATATTCATCAAAGGCTCTTAATTATCTCTAGTAAAAATTTTTCCAGACTGTTTCAAATATGGTGTTTTTAAAGAACATCTAAGTTACCTCTTTTATAATCAGATATGCTTTCTTTTTGAAAACACTGGATATTGTTAGTTCCACGTTTAGTACTTTTATCTTTTCTTAGATTCTGTATGAATAAACAAACTGAGGAAGCTCAAATGCTGTGCTGTGCATATCTGTTACTCCAGAAAGATCTATTTAAAGAGCATTTATACCTCATAGATGGCAGTTCTTACCTGTCTTGAGATATCATAACTAATATGGCATCCTTAGTCATAAAAGATATTTAACTGTAACTTGGTCACTAAAAATCCAAATAATCTCCTTATCAAATACATTTTGCATTGAAATATTTTAAGAGTTGAGACTATTCAAGCAATTACAAGCACATTAAAAAAAAAGAAGTGCTGTGTGGTGGCATCAACAAAAGCTTCACAGCACTTTTGATTATCATGTGTAATATACATCTGGAAACTGCATTCTGAAACACTGACACTGAACTCCTTTGCATTTCAGAAATTATTTTCTATTCTCTTAGTTAACTCTTATTTTGTATGTGTCATTCACATGACAGTGGTATCCTTAGAGCTTTCCAAAGAGAGTTAAGGTTTCACTCAAAGTGATTTCTGATGGGATTTGACTTATTCTGGCACAGCCTGTTGATGGGTTCAGTTCCATTTAGTGCTGTCAGATAGCCAGAAATTGATGGCTTCTGTCTTTCTGATCAAGGTCATATGTTGTTCTCTGATTATTAGCATTTTCTTTTCCTTCCTTACTTCTCCATGAAATAAATGAGAAAGCTAAAATACATGGTAAAACTGCCATTTCTAAGTTACTGTATTAGTGTTTTGCTTTCTACACAAGTATCTAGCAATAAGAGAGATGGTAAATTCAAGCAGTTGCATTTCACTGTAATAATTTCAGCCACTTGCCCACAGTGGTTGTCAGTTTTTGCATGCAGAAATTGTATGCTGTGCTGTAAGTATGCTGTATAGTAAGTGAATATCAATCAATTTGCTTTATAAAGAGATCCTGCCTACTAATTAACCAGCAGAACTGATTTGCTCAAGTACTTACCTGCTTTCCAGGTACACAGCTGCTAAAGCCAGCCCAGCACTAAGCATTCAAGAAACTTAATGTGCCTGAATTACTAATATTAGCATTCCTGAGCACAACACAGACATCTTTTAAATGTAATTAAAGAATATGTGGTGTAATAATCACCGGAGGTTAAATGTGTGCATTGGGAGTGGGGTTGTCATTCAGTTATGTTGAATCAAAAAAAGCCAAAATTTTGGATGACTGTTGGACCTTGCTATTTAAGAAATAATTACGCAATTTACCCTAATTTCTCCTTAATCTCCTGCAGGATTTTTTCATAGAGACATGAAGCCTGAAAACCTTCTTTGTATTGGTCCAGAACTTGTAAAAATAGCTGATTTTGGTTTGGCTAGAGAGCTGAGATCTCAGCCACCGTATACAGATTACGTGTCCACCAGGTGGTAAGTACAGGATGCAATTAATACACTGTATTAATGAACTACCTTTCTCTGATGACTGTTTTAATTTATGTACTCCTTTTCCCATCCTCATAGGTACCGTGCTCCTGAAGTTCTGCTGCGGTCATCCATCTACAGCTCACCTATTGACATATGGGCAGTTGGCAGCATCATGGCTGAATTATACACACTGAGACCCCTTTTCCCAGGCACAAGTGAAGTAGATGAAATCTTCAAGATTTGCCAAGTATTAGGCACTCCAAAGAAGGTCAGACTTCTAGAACTCATGCAATAGCACTTACTCAATATTTTATAATCACTTTATTTATTTATTGTTGCACTTCCAGAACATACATGTAGTCTGTTTTAGTAATTTTATTGTGGAGTTAAGTTTTCTCAACTCTGTCTTTTGAAACATCTGCTAAGGCACAGAATACTGGACTTCTGTACTGTATAAGCATCTGTTTTATATCCTGCTATTATGTGCTGCTCTGTGATGAAAGTCAGATAAAGCTGTTTAGTTAACTAAAGACATGCACATCAGAAGAACTGGGAAAAAACAACCAAAAAAAAACCCCCTAGTGTTAGGATTTCATGTTGCCACAACTGATTAATTTTTCTTTGCCAAAACTCCAATTTTTCAAGGCTGGTACCTAGAATTTGGAGCTTGTGGAAGTTGCTCTGAATAAGTTGAATTGTGGTATTTTCTTATTTTTTAAGCATAGAAGAAATACTTGATCTCAAGCACAAATCCATTGTATAGAGTCCTTAATGACAAAGCAATGAAGGAGAATGATTTCTCAAGATATTTAGCTCTATCAGAAATTAATTAAGACCTACAAGGGAGATTTGGGTAGTGCATGTAAAAATGTGTACAGTTGTATTTACTTCTGTTAAAGTTTTCAGGAAATGGGTATATGAACATGAGTTTGTTTTGCACAACAAATACTTCCTGCAAGTTACCTGCAAGACGTGTTGGGTTCTTTCGTACCAACTAAATATGCTTAATCCTTGAATTACAAGTGTTGTGAGTTGTACTGAATAAAGACATGAACTAATCAGAATGCAGCAGCTGAAATGCACAGAGACACACAGAAACACAGACTGGAAAGGTGAGTCGGTGAGTTTGTAGGAGTTGTCAAAGAATGTTCAAAAGAGAATGAATTCCTAAGAAGTGCTCAAAACAAGTGCAAACCAAGAATGTGAGAAAATGAACACTGCAGCTTGACAAAAGTCAAAGAATGCGATGGCAGAAAGCAAAGTAGGATGAAGAAAAAGGGAGTGTGTAAGCAGGGACAGACATCATGACACTGCAGTGTCTAATGAAGCAGTGAGGAGATTTCAGAATCAATTGGAATAAAAGGAAATAAGCTTACCTTCCAAATTTTGAATCAGTTGGGAAAAAAGAAAGAAAAAAAAAAAAAGCAATATAATAAAAATATGTTTACAGAAGAAAACTGTGGTGGCTAAGGTCAGAGATGACAGATGTATTATGAGGTAAATAGATACCTGTGAAACTACTGACTGAACGAAGTCTCTAGCTGTGGAAAACCACTGGTGTTGTGCCAATATAAAATAAAGTGTAGCTCTCATACAGTAGAGGAGCTCTTGTCAGTGAAGAATTGAGGAACAGAAAGCTTAAAACTAAAGTAGAGTAAGTTTAGCTAGGAGCTTAAAGCGATGGGAAAAGATCTAAGAGAATGTACTGGGAAACAGGTGCAAGTTCATGAGAGAGCAGAGTATGAAAGGTCAAAGGTGGAGTTGTATATGAGATATATATAACTGGTGGCAGTGAAAATTGAGACTGGATGAGTAAGTGAAAACTGTTACATACAAAACAGTGCTTTCTGTGACAATCGTGCATCAGGAGTAATGTGTAATATGTAGCAGTATTTCAAGAATTGAGTTTTCAAACCCAGATGTTAATTCTTTCTTGAGCAGCTCACAAGACTAGGATGAGAATGTTTAGCAGCTCATCAAATTATCTAAGAAAGAGAACAACACTTGGGCTTCTGGAACATTTTCAGTGCATAGCACAATTTGCGGGCATGCAAGCAGATCAGAGGGAGACTTAACAAAGTGTAGCAGAGCAGCGTTGAGGTCACTGGTGTGGCTCTGTAACTTTATTAGCTGCTGAAAAGAAGCATGTAGCTGGTTGCTTGAGAAAGGAGGGAGCAACACTGCCTGAATATTTCAGAGAAAATTGTAGCCTCTTGGAAAGAGCTCGCGGGTTAGAGATGCTATAAGTCAGCCCTCTTAAGATCAGAAAGCTGTAATTAGTTGCTTTGTGCCTCTGTCATCTGTTGGGCAGTCCTGGAACTTTTATCTCCTTATGACAGTGCTGAGGCATTCTTCAGGGACATCGCTGTGTAAGAAGGGTATTTAAATATTATAATACAATTGATCACCACAAATAATGACTTGGTTATGGTGTATTATGAAAAACACAAGCAGTTCTTTTAGTACTCTGTTTTTGAGGATAAAGTTAATGAATTGAATTTTTATATGTAGACTCGTTTATTCCATTAACTTGCTGTAAGGAATGACAGGAGTTATGCCCAGAAGCTGTCTTTGTTCCAAATTGCCTTCCTTTTAGTGGTTTAAGTCTGTGATACCATGCTGATGACTTCTGTTGGTTGATTTGGTTGCTTTTGGCTTTTGTTTAATGATATTTAGTAGTGACAGGAACTACTTCGCTCTATTTCATCCTGGCTTTGATCAGGAATGGTATGGTGAGCAGGACTGAAGGCCTACTGATGGAATAGATTTTCCTTTGTAAATTGGCAGATAACAGGCAAGGAAGGACTGAGTATATTAGAAGACAAGATTAGAATTCAGAATTTCCTATAAGACTAGTTGCAGTTTACATATTACTGAAGATTTTTGAGTGCTGTACTTATGCAGTTCTAATTATTCTTGACTAAATAGCTGGGGATAACTACCCAGCTAATATTTCTTCAGAAGAAGATGTAGGAGCTGTATAATACATTGTACATCAGTGTTGTGTTGGAACAAATACCGTATCAGTGCGTAGAAAAAGAAGTACAGTCCATTGACATACAAGCTAATCTTTCTGTTCCATTTATAAGTTTTGCATTTCAATGAAGAGTTCTATGTTTCAGAGACCAGAGGAGAAAAACCTGAAAATCCAAGATCCAAGAATTCAATTGTTTGATCTTCTCTAGCCTCTGCAAAGGAAGATGGAAAGAAAGAACAAGAAATACACCTAATTTATAAACAGGCTGTTTTAGAGACAAAAGCAGTAGTTGTTCTTGGTATCCAGGGATGATAGCATACTCAGCAATGGTCTCGTATTGCTACGAGAGAATCGTGTATTTTTCTCTTCTGCAGGGCAGTTAGTCTATGCAATAGACTGTCTATAGCAGTTGTGGCTGTGGAACTGCAAACTCTGTGACAATAATACCTGTGAAGAAGAGGCAGGAGCATGGACTAGATAATCTCTTGAGATCTTTGCCAGTCCTAGGATTCTGTATTCAAACAGTGCAATTATCAAGCAACCAAGGACTTCAGGTTTTACTTCTTGAAAGTTTAACACTCTCACACAAAAACCCACTAAGTTCTCATATTATGATCACGATTTTCCTATTGCAGTAATGTCTGGTTATAGTTAAATCACCAAATGTCTTACTGGTGTAGTCAGTGATAGATTGATTGGTTGTACATCTGTCCACATCATGATTGCACAAACATGGTAGGGTGGTGTAATGCAAAAGAGCCAGTGCTTCTGCATAAGCTTTACTGATCCCAAAGAAAATACAAAGATGCAAGTTAATACCCATCAGTTTAATAGGGAGTACTTGTGTTAGTGGGGCTGTTAGCCAGCCAGTCAGTCTCTGCTGAGTCCTCATTAGTAAGAGAAGCAGGCTTGTAGCAAGTCCACCCTAGGATTACCCCCCCCAGCAGATAATGGTGGCAGCCACCCTAACCCCCTCAGTACTGTGGCCATATATATAACAGCAGGAGACAATAATGCATCATGTATCAGGGTAAGAAAGATCCTTTGTGGAAAGCAAGGATACTTGGTCACAGCTGCCAAGGAACTTCTCACAAGCAGGTTTCTTCTAGCTGCATGCAGAAACTGTAGGCTGTTTACTTGTGTTCCCAACCAAACATGAGCCCTTTCTCATGGGCAAGTTACCTGTTCAGGCTGTGATCTGTATTTTTCCATGCAGCTGGGTAGAAAGGCCTCACCTCTGGTATTATCATAATGGAAGTACATAGAAATCAACTGTTTAAGCTTATTTCTGTAATGGATGGGATTTGCTTAGCTGCTCCTGATACCTACTGCAATCTCTTCTCCTTCAGAGTGTACATCCAAGTGTTGCATGCACAAAGACAGTTCTCCCTTCACCTACAGAAGAAAGACTGCCACTTGAGACTGATGCTGAACTGACTGGTGCCACAGCAATTGCAATGAAAAACAGTAATGCTTGTTTTTCACTGTACAGGAAGGAACTACACAGGCCAAGCACGACTCAAGCTACAGAAAAGTGTAACTTGATCTAATCCCTCAAACACTTAGTCTTTTCTTAAACTTGTTCTTCTTTCCTTTTAAACAGAGTGACTGGCCAGAAGGATACCACCTCTCTTCTGCCATGAATTTCCGTTTCCCACAGTGCGTCCCTATAAGTTTAAAAACTCTCATCCCAAATGCAAGCAGTGAAGCCATACAGCTTATGAGTGATATGCTGAATTGGAATCCAAAGAAGAGACCTACAGCAAGCCAGGTCTGAGCACCTAAATTATAAGGACAAGACTACATCGTCTTGCATTGGCAAAAATTGGTAGATGCAGAAATACAATTTGATTGTCATCATAATGAAGGCTAGAGTACACTTTTGAACACTTCATTGGGAGACACTGAAAACAAAGCTTTGTTTTTGTGAAGTTGCAGATGGAATGCAGTAGGGAGAGTGCAGGATAGTGGGGTTTTTTTTACTAGGAAATGGGCTGTACAATGTACTGAGTGATAAGGGAAGAACTTTGAGAAGAACATGTCAATAAGTCACCAAGGTCACAGGTTTTTTTCCTAGGTTAATTTTAGAAAATTAGGTATAGATATTTCAAAGATATATACATTCTACTTGTTTTTGAGTATGTATAGCTAATGCAATTCTGTTTAGAAGGTATGAGAGTGCAGTTGAGAAACAAAAGGAAGGTGATGAGTTTATCATAGGTGGACATGATGAAAGTGATTCAGAAGTGGTTAAGGAGGTGGTGCAAAGCACAGCAACCATATTTGTCTGCTTTATAAAGCATGTGTTGTTACAGTCACTGAGATCAAACTGTAGTGCAGTGCTATACATCTCTATGCAGAATGCTGCATGGTACGTTATGACAGCAAATAACCAGGTTCTGCCCAAGAGAGTTGGCAAGGAAGCAGCAATCCATAACCAAAAGGGAAAGTTTAACGTGTTTTCATAGAAGGGTGTACAAAGGCAGTGATTTTCAAGAACAGCTGAGGCAAGAAATCTCTTTGAGAACTAACAAAGAGCAGGAGTTGACCCAGAGACAGCAGAAGAACTTGTTCCACAGGAAGAACTGTATTTGTAAGATATGTAATATAGTTAGCAGGAAAGCATGCAATAGGGAATTTTTTACTATAGTAGAAACAACCTGTTTTTAAGTTGTAATTTGTTACTGTGTGAATATAGAATGGAGTTAAATGCAAAATGCACATAAAAAAACAGACTTCACCAAACACAGAAGGAAGAAAAAGACTTCTATTAAATGTACAGGTGGATCCATCTTACTAAACTGTATGGCAGAGAAAGCTAAAAATGCAGAACTGACAGGTGGATAAATACAACATTTACACATGAACTTCTTATGCATCTGTCTTTCACTACTGTGGTAGAGATTACTCAAATGCTTCAGAAACATGCTCACATCCTCAAAGAAGTTACCAAAGTCAACTTTTTGAAGTACAGTTAGTGTGTCGTATCTTCTTCTCTAGGCACTGAAGTACCCTTACTTTCAAGTTGGCCAAGTTTTAGGACCTCCCCCACAAAATTTGGAGAAGCAGACTCCTGTTAAACCAGTGCAGCCAACAGAACCAAAGCCAACTTTACCCAAACTGGAAGCTGTATCCAAGCCAGAGCCTCTGTCTTCACCTGAGGAACCTGACAAAACACAGCCACAGTCTCTGTCAAAGGCTAATCACCAGCCTCTCCAGCAAATTCAGGTGCCCCAGAATACAGCTAACCAGCAAGTATCAAAACAGCAGCAGACACAGGTGCAGCCATTTTTTCCAGCTATCAATAAAGACTCATCTGGGGTAAGTTGTCTTCAGTAGATACCTAACTTAGACAGGTGGTTCTTTTACAAATCCTTAATGTATTGAATGTGGCTGTTCTCTGAAAATCACCATACTTATTAAAAAAATAAAATAAATAATAATTTAAAAAAAAAAAAAAGCAATCATGTAATTAAGGACTTTGAGAATATAACTAATCACTTACTGAAATTTTGTCAGCAAATGAGAAAAATAGGTTACTTCATGGATGTCCGACTTCTTGGCATGCCTGAGCCGTGCTGAGAGAAGAGGGATTGTCTTGGGCCTTTTATACATAGACTGCACTGTGAGCTGTGCTGGGCCATGGGTTAGACATACCTGGTTTCCTTCTAACAGCAGTTTGCAGTCTGTTGTAATAACTTTTAGAGTCATAGAATCGCTCAGGCTGGAAAAAGACCAAGTCCAACCACAACCTAACCACACTACCCTAACTCTAACAACCCTCTGCTAAATCATGTCCCTGAGCACCACATCCAAACTGCTTTTAAACACATCCAAGCTGCCTTTTTTATGGCATTCATTTTCTTGATTGCAAACCGAGCAGTTCCTGTAATCACATGGACCCTGCAATTTCTTAGTTCATAAGAATCTTAAAAGTAAGGTTTTTAGCTTCATACAATTGCTGTACCACCAGTAAGAGTGTGAGTTCAGCAGGATACCAGCAACAGAGCCTGAGTGCTGAACTGGGCCTTCAAACAGAATGTTAATTGAGTATGTCAGCTAGATTTGAGCCATTTGAAGTTGGCAGTCCAAAATACCTGCCAACTTTGTCATATATTTTGTGCTTAAAATCATTAAGGTTATGACCAAAATAGGTACAGTGCAATGGTTTTTTAAAAAAATCCTTCCATGTTCTTAAGCAGTAGTAATCAACTATATGTAAAATATAAAGTTTTAGAATTTAATTAGAGTTGTATTTTTTCTTCTTCTGTTCGTATTTGAAATAGAAACAAGCAGCCCAGAATGGCACAGTGGGTGCTAAAAGTTGCAGGAGACGATGGGGTCAGACTTTGACAAAGGCTGTGGACAGCTGGGATGAATTGGACGATGCTGAATTTGGAATGTCGTGTTCAAAGAAGCCTAGCATTGCACTGTTAAAAGAAAAGAAAAACAAGGAATGTCTCTTTAGGTAGGTCTTGGAATTATAAAATCACTTTTATAGAAAATGTGTTTTAGTACACAGTGATCAGCAGATTTATAGATTGGTTAAAACAGATCTGCTAAAAATGAACTTGCTGAAACTCTGCAGTAGTGCAAAAGGCTCTGTGAACAGGCCAGCTTTGAGCTGGGTGTTGATGTAGCACCAGTAATATCTGTAATTCTTTCCATCACATAGGTGTCTATCTTGTTTTTAACAGTGTTTTACTGAAGTGGTACCTGATTTCCCATGTCAGTGAGGCTAGGGGAAGTTCTGCCACAGTTACTTAATTACTTTTAAGTCTATATATTGTATACACTTCTTTTCTTCCACTTTCATATTGTCAGGTAAAATTCTCATGAGATATGAGATTTAGCTGTTACTTTCTGTGGGAATGAAGTCTACTGATGAAAGCAGGATAAGAGAAGAGCACTGCATCCTTAAGCCAGCCTCAGCTCATGGCATTCTAAGGTGGACTTGTTGATTACACAGCTTGAACATTTTGATTTTTTTTCAGTGTGCCAGAACCAAAAGCTTCACACTGTACCCAGCCAGGAGCAGAAAATAAAGGTGTAATGAGAAATGATTCTGGAAGATCCAATACAACAGCAAAACAGTACTATCTAAGACAATCAAGATACCTGCCAGGTAAGGGGAAAAGTCAACATGTCATGGAAAATGCAAACAGTGAACAATCTATATACAGCACACTCAAACTTCAGATTTCACATTGGGTAATTCTCTTTTCCTACTCAAGCTAAATTTTTGGACTAAATGCCTTTCCAAGAACATATCTTTCCACTATTAATACAGAAAGTCCTGGTTATGCATAAGTGGAAAAGAGATCAACACTGCTTGTGCAGTGTAAATGTTCACAGAAGCTCTTATGACCAGCAACATATAAAACCCTCAGTTTTTGGACACCTGGAAATATATCCTAACTGACCATGAGCAATGTATCTGAGAAGTGAGAAAGATGCCCACGTATAGCACAGTGATAACTTCTAAGTATGAAATCACTTCTTCAGTGCTTAATTGGATGCCCTAAGACTCAACACTTTGCCCAAAAGAGGGGAAAAAAGCTTTCCTATCTAAAGATAACAAATAGAAAGTTAATCTACACTTCTTATATTTTGAAGTATGCTTCTAATACTTCCCTATTTTTATTAGTTTTCAATGAGAGTGGCATAGTAGTTTAAATATATATATTTCTGCACTTAATAATAGTTCCAAGAAGCATATTTGTTATTTATCCATATCAATATAGCTCTGTTACCACTGGATATGTGAGCTGCTTTCATGCTGTGTAATCCCATTAACTCACCAATGCTCGTGACATGCTGAAGTAACAAGAACTTCTTTGTCCTATTTTTAAACTTATCCTCTGAAGAAAGTTTATTTTTAGCCTTGAGAACCTTTGTTTTCAATATATTTCTTTCATTTCTGCTAATTGTTTGAGGGTCTTATATATCAATAAGGTTATGATGTTATAGACACCAAGTAACTGCAGTAAAACTACCAGTTGTCTTGAATGCACGAAAACAAGAGTTCTAAAATCACTGTATCTAATTTTCAGTTGAGAAATATAACCTAACCAATGGATGTTGTCCTTTGACTTACATTAATAATGTTTATGTTCTGTGAGAAATAGAGTTTTGTTTTATTGTTCTAGAAATGACTGATTTTTCATGGGTTGAATTATGTTTGGAAATTAACATCTGCCATAATTTCTTTTTTAAGGTGTAAACCCTAAGACTGTCTCTTTAGTAGCAATCAATAAAGAAGGATCTCATGGAACCTGGAACAACCAGTTGTTTTCCAAGCCATTGACACATGTTGGAGAAGGACTGCCTTTCAACAGAAATAATACAGGTATAAGTGTAATAAACAGCAGTCACCTTGTTTTTCATCATACTTTATTTAATTAATTTGCTTATAGGCCAACTTTGTTTTTCTTAATTTAAACAGAGACTCAAAGTAATCTTTTCATACCTAAGCTATGTGTTTTGCTTTCAGATCATAAAGGAAGTACAGACTAGCTGTTAGAATAAAGTTCTGTCAGGACAAATTTTGTCTGTAATCCTCTTAAGCTGATTATCTCACTGTGATAATTTAAGGAAATAGCTTGATTTCACTACTGCCTGGTCAGTGTGATGTGGAACACTATGAAATAACAGTCTCACATATGAAAACAAATGAGGTGTTGCCTAACATCAATTAGAGATACCAGCCTGGCAGATGGGAAGTCCCCTCACTTTCAGCAAGGAACTTGCAGTGAGGTGCCTTTTGTAGTAGCTTTTGTGGAAAATGCTCTTATCAGCATTTTACAGAGTGAAGAGTAAGGCTTAAACAAGTACAATGGCTTATCTGAGATTTCACTGAGGTAAGCATAGGACTTGAGACTGAAATCTACCTTCTGAACACTAGATAGTCCTGTCACTCTTAAGTTTTGAAGCCAGCACGGGTCGCTGCCAGCATCAATGCTAATGACCACCTGTAGCAGAAATGCTGTCAGGGCTTGAAGCACTGATTGAGCACCTGCTGGGAAGGCAGGGGAACCCAGGGGAGCTCAGGTGCAAGCAATGCAGTGAGTGATTGGAAGGAGTGGAACCAGGATCCATGCCTTCCCAGATCTCATGTTAAGGGTTGATAGTGGAGAGAAAGGTATCTTGTTTGAAGGTCCCTGCCTACCAAAGGTAAGCAGTCTGTCTTCTGTGTTACTGTACATTATAGTGTTACACCATCTGACCTAATGTGTTTGTACAAGAACTTCAGGAGGCTTGTTCATATGCAGCTGCTGCATGCTTTTTTAATAAAACTTTAGTAGCCCCCCAGCTGTGTTATCAAAACATTTTCCTTTTGGAAGTCAGGTGAAGTTTAAGTTGCTCATCTGAAATCATGGAGAGCACTTAAGAAATGGAAAAATAACAGCAGCAACTGGAACATGGAATAAAACGCTTTTTAAAGTAACCATAAATATTTTCTGGGTTTCTGAATTTTAGATCTGTGTGCCTTAAAGTAAGTTGATTTTGACAAAATACTCTTGCATAGGAAGAGACAGAAAAAGGCAGAGCTTGTTTCCATAAGTATGTATTAGTAAGCCAGACAGCTATGTACTGAATTGGGCTATAAACAAACTTAGGTCAATGCCAGTGGTAAAACCTCACTTCTGTCTTACTATGGCTATCTACTGAAAAGTCAAAGAAAAATCATCTTTAAGAAAAAGTGTTTGAAAACACTGAGCATTATTTCCATTGATATCTTAAATAACATACACTAAGGTTTTATGTACCAGGCAGGCAACAACGCTTAAAGCAGACACAGGAAACTGTGGTAGTTGGACCACTGACCAGAGTAATATGGTAGATGTATGTATTCCTTTTTCATGCTGATAGGATTGAAAGCTGGCACTGTGCTGCTTGGTGTTTAAATAACTATGTTTAGTTTCTTCACGTGCTTTTATTTTTTCTTTACCCACAATGCTGCTCTAGGGTAAAATAACATAAGAACAAATAGTTACGAAAGCTTTATTTGTAAGCAATGGTGAAGCTGTGACCAACTTTGCAAATATGCCTTAATGCTTGAACTTGTGAATTGTGCATTGGTATGACTATAATGTGACTGCATTGTTGGTTAATTAGTTACTTTTTGAGCTACTTTCTAATGAATGAAAACAGTTTTAAAAGCAGGAGATGTTACTTAAACAAAGGGGTACATGAAATTATAGCTACGTCAGTGTCAGGTATTCTTTTTTGCTCTGCTTTTCCTCATTTCTTTGGTATCACCTAACCAGATTCTTCATATACTTTCTCTAAAATTCTGTCTTTCCATCTTTTTCTCTCTCTCTCTCATTCTCCTTATGTACAGAAGAGAACTTAATTACACCCATTGAAAAACTATCATGCAAAGAAAGTTTGAATGAAAAATTAGAGGATCCAAAAGGTAATTTATAGCAATTATAACCTGGCTCTTTGCACATTTCATATTTGTTTTACATTTTCTCCCAAAAAATACATCTACAGTGCAGATTCCAAAAGATCACATCCTTCATTTTCAGTTGTAATGTGTTTTGTCCAACTTTGCTCTCTTCTTTATGTCTGCTTTTAGACCAAGCAGGGTCTGCTGCCCTATGCGTTAGGGGGTAGCAACTTATGCAGTGACATGCAGCAGCAGCAGGGAAGCAGCAGAGGTCCATCTTAGTTACCACAGTGTAATGTAGTGTGAAAAACAGCTTCTACCTTGATTTTTACTCTTAGAAGTAGACAAAGTAAAAAAAATAGCCATATAAGTAAGGTCTGTTTGTTTTTCATACTGACAAAATTGTTTCCCTTCTGAATCTGCAGCTAAACTAAGTGGTGTAATGCTGAAAGAGGGCAGATAATTTCTCATCACATGTAGACTAACTCATTCATGTTAACCTGGATCGTTTCAGTACACTCTTTGAAACCTGAGAGAATGAAGTGACTACATGTATACTTACAAATGCCTTTAAATAACATCTGAATGTTCCAGTAAGTGACTTCATAACTTTCTTTCTGGAGAAGAACTGATCCTAAAGGAGGAACACACGCATCCCTGAGGGAATGCTTGCTGCTAATATCGCTTGCCACTTGCACCACTGACTGCATTCTAATTCTTTGTTATTTACACACTGTGATTGCACAGGTTTGATTGATTAACCTCAGTGTAAACAGATGGAAACTAGGGTTTCCAGGCAGCCATGTTCATATCTAAACACACTCCTCATTGCAAGCATTGTAAAGGCGTAATGTTTCACCTCTCCCTCCATTTTGGCACCTGAGGTGTGTACTGTATCCCTTTGCAACTACTTGTAGTTTTTTCTCAACTTGTTGCCCAGCATGAATGATTCAATGGCTTCATCCCTTGAGAAGAATCAGGTATGCACTGAGCTATGCTGCCCAGACCATGCTTACACTTGCTGGCACACAGCTGTGTTTGCTCACACATCTGCTGCCAACCCTCCTTGATGCCTGATGGACTTCTACAGCAAGAACTTCTGTTTTGCATGGCAGTTGCCAGAGGTAAGGAATGACCTACTGCATACCTCTCCATGCGTGGTTTTGAAATGTTAGCAGTCATAACTTTGCCTTGAATTTCTTATTTTTCTTCTGTCCAAGGAAAAGACAATTTCTTCAGTCCTCTCAGTTTCACCCAGACTGTTCCTCTGGACTGTGCTTATCCCTTTTCTGCAGAAGAGTTCATAAAGAACGTCAGATATGAAGAGGTAAGAAGAAGAAGAAAAAAAAACGGTTGAAAAACTTTTGACAGGCAGCTTTGCAGAGCTGTAGCTAAGAAACATGTGGAACGAGTCATTTTGAGGTTATATTAAGGCTTGTCATGGTCTCAGATTTCAGAATTTTAAGATATCCTCTGACAGATCAGTATTATACCTTATGAAGCAGTCCCAGTGAAAAGATCAGGAAGTGGGGGAATACATGCATGTATGTTTATGCAGACAAGGGAATGTAACACCAAAATTGTTGCTTTTGTTTTTCAGGCAAAATTGTGGAGAAGAACTTACAACTCCAAGGAAGTTGTAATTTGAGTACCTTATTAAAGTTTTATTTTTCATCAGGATCTGTGTCATCCTTTATTCCACTGGAGCCTGGCATCAGAAGCCACCTAGGACCCACCTGTTGACAGGACTGTGGGGTTATGGGCAAGAAGAGGTATATGATGACCCAAAACAGCTGTAATTAGCTGAGGATACTTTTGTGGTTTGTAGATGATCAATTCTGCACCTTATAGAGCCACTGCACTAATTCTGACATTAGCACAGAAGACTGAGGGTGGTAGTGTGAAGAGGAGGGTTTTGGGATTGCACTGGGGCCAGTGATTTAGGAGAACAAACTGTCAAATCACACTGTATATTTTATCAACCACTCTTGGAACCATCCTGATGGAAGCACTCCTCTTCAAACATTGTGCTATCACACAGCTTTTTAAGAGTGTCTAGGTGATGACAGACAAGAAATCCACTTGGAACAGTCTAAATATTTGAGTTGATTCCACACCGCTGTACAGTAACCTCAATAATAATTTCATGTGTAAATGCATAATGTTTCTTAGCTTCCTAATGATGGATTGGAAAGGATGATTATGTTCATCTTCCCAAGGCAACACTCCCTTAGAGAAAGTTGTGGACTAAAGCCAAGCACAGCAAATGTCAGACTTCAAAAGAGAGGGGAACTAGATCTTACTTTTGTAGCAGGCCTTTAGCCAGGGAACTGGCTAAGTCAACTTCAAGTGATGCACCACAAGAGGAGTTGTGGTTCCATTTTTAGATAGATGTAGGTCATACATGTTGAGCATAAGAGTACTGTTGCATGCTGATTTTCAAGACTGAAGTGCTAAAACCTGCTTCCAGTAAATAAAAGGTAAGATCCTGTCTTGCACTAAAACTCAATGTAAACTCTTGCTAGGCAATATAAGTTTAATGAAAGTGTTAAGGAACTGGTCATACTACTCTTATCTTCACTGCTGCTGCACTGCAGATATATACTTCTTCCCTACAGACAAGCACTGGGGAAGAACACCACTCACTCATTATTCTTGTGATCATGCAAGTATGTTATGAAGTGACTGTGAAAATGCATATTTCATGGATGCAACTGAAAATATTAAAACCTCCTGTAACATCCACAGGAAATTCTGACTTTGTGGGAGGTGCTGCTTACAACCCATCAGGAGGATACATCCCTTCCTTTCATAAGAAAGAAGTTGGATCAGCTGGACAACGGATACAGCTGGCTCCTATTGCTCCATCTGTATCTGGTAAGAAAATGTGTATGCTAAGATGTTTCTTAACACCAGTATGAAAAGTAGATACATTCAAGCTTAAATAGAAAAATATTCGTATTTAAATTGGTTTAGAGGCATTTTCTTGACAGAGGTTTTCTTGCAGCATGTGGCAGTCCTGAGTCTTTAAATATAATGCCATTTAATGCACTTGAATAATGCTGAACCATGCTTACAGTATGCTAAACAACCCCAGAAAAGGTAAATACTTCCCTCAGATGACTCAGTAAATCCACAAGTAGTGTTACATATACAGTACAAGCACTGTATTAAAATAAACTGTTCTGTTCTTCATTAGCTCTATGGGGTTGCTCTGCAGCTTTAGTAGTGGTAATTTAAGACAGGTTTTCATCCCACTGTTAGCTATGCAAGTCTGAGTGTCACCCCAGTAGCTGACAGTACTCTTGTAGCCATGAAATATAAAGGGAGTGCTTTCTGGAGTGAAAGTGTAGACATCACTACATTATAGAAAGTAAAAGCCAAACAACATGGGTTTGTTACTGTGTGCTTATTCAAGTGCTTGAAATAAATAAGAAAGAATACTTCCTTTCTACAGCAGTTTTGCGATAGGAGATTGAAATTCAGTAAAAAGCTCCACAACTGTCTCAGTGTTGTCTGCAGGAATTGCTGCAAAACTGGTATCCGATAAGTGAGAATTACCAGTAAGATAAGCAAACTCTAGGAAACATCAGCCTTATCTGAAAACAAGGACAGTCTGGTCTCTGATGTGTTAATAGCTCTGAGTACCACAAGTCATCCTTCAACTCTCATTCTGTGCAGGAGTAAAATACTACTTCAGTCATCATTAATTCCAAGTTCTTGTTCCTTTCAGATTATTCCTGGAAAACCAAAGCTGCTCGTGCTCAGTTAGCAGGTCCTACTTACAATTCAGCAAAAAGCATGAATATTTTAACTCATGCACCAACAATTCAGCCAGTCCATGGAAGAACAGACTGGATGGCTAAGTATGGAGGACACAGATAGAAAATACCATCTTGAACGAGGCTCACATGATACCTGCACAGTTCTCCTGCCTGAAATGCCTATCTGCTCTAATCTTTCCTAAGACCTATGCAATAGTAAAGACAGAAACAGACAACTTTGTGTTCTACTATCTGTGGACACACACCAAAAAAATCACATTATTTAAAATACTGGCTATTAAGTAGGATTTCATTAAGTATTGTACAACACATCTTGCCAAATCTATCACGTATTTAGAAGTAATGAGAAGTAGATTTCACCTGGCACTTTTCTATAGAAGACTTCCTATTAGCACAGTCTTAAAAACAAGAGCTTTAATTTCTTGCCCTATGCAAAAGTCCACCATTGTACATGAAAGCAGCTTAGGTCACAAGCAGCTAGAACTGGGGCTAAAGCAGAACAGCTCCAGGCTCCCAGCTGATACACTGGTTCCTTCCTGGAAATATCAAAGTGAAAGTGCAGACTGGGCTTTGTGAAGAACATCAGTGTCCTCTAAGGATTTCAGAACTCGCTTGTACCTAAAGAGTTGCTCAGGGTCTGTAATGTGTAAATAAAATGAGAACTCCTTGTAGCTGGACAGAAGCAATATGGTGACAATTCCTGCTCCTGGAAGCTCTGAAAATACATCCCAGTAGCAACACTGGAAAACAGCTAAGCAAGTACTGAATGCTGCACTTCCCTCACTGAGCTGTAGTGAAACTTAAAACCAGACTGTACTGTTAAAATTAGCTTATGACCACTTTCAGTTGAAGATCTGTGGAGAATTACATCTCCCTTGTCAAAGGTATATCACAGCAACATTTTAAGGAATCCAAATCCCAGTCTCATCAGCTGTTCTAAAGGTGAATTTAAAAAGGCATAAGTGGTTGGTAACCGTCTTACTGGGTGATGACACGAACCAGACTTCTTCATAACTCAAAGAAGCCCTGTGAATCATGTGAGGGAGGAAATAAAGCTGCTTTTCTAAGAAGTTACTTTCTCTTTTAGATCTTTAAAGCCAGCTTAAGTCCTGTATGTAAGACCACGTACAAGCTTTAATAATGCAACACCTCAATGTTTATATGCTCATGTCATACTTTCCTTGGCACCTATGCTAAGTTTTACAGAAATATCTTGCAAAGGAACCTTGCAGTGTACAATAAATATATTTTTTTAATGTTGATCTAGGCTACTTCTGTTCACAGCTGTGTTTAGAATAGATGTTTTGGTAGTAATATTAAACCTGCCATTTTAAAATACAAAACGAGTATGTTCTTTAAAGATGTGAAACTGGTGATAACTTTTTTTTGTTTTTAAACTGCATATCAAGTTCTCAGTTCCTGCTCTTGACCTAACGTGCCGTAATAGTTGGGCTATATAACCTACTGGAAGTTAAACTGAAGCAGGAGCATTAAAAAACAAAAAACCAAACACCAAAAGCAAATGTTACTTTAATACTGGAAGTGATTTGTAGAGAGCTGGATAACTGGTTAGTAACACACTAGAAGACTTAATTCAGTTACTATTGGTTTTGTCTCAGATACCTGTCACTCCATTAGTACTAACAGATCTTCATATGCTGTTTAGGCATATCTTATTGTAGCTGTAGAATATATCTGTAACTCACTGTAGAAATGAAGACCACCCTCACACTTTCTAGAACAGTTCTGGTTCATAAATACACTAGTTTTATTAATGAAATCCAGGAGAAATTAATCACTCATCCCTGGTAGTAGATGCCAGTAACTTAGGTAAGATCACACTAACCAAGCACTTAGCTAATGATGTGTCCAAAGCTCACTAAGTCACCTAGAGCAGAAGAAGGAACAGGCAGTACTAAATAGAGCTAGAAGAAACACACTGTCCTTACAACATGCTAGTGAACATAGAAATTATTCTGATGTAACTGTAACTGCCTTGACATGTCTACGATCAAAGCATGACTAGAGTTAAGAAATTCTTCTCACAAGTAACAAGACAAAACAGCAGTCAGGCACTAGTAGGTGTTGTACAGTCACTATAACTGATTCACTGATACACACTGTCAGTGCAGAAATGCACCTAATGCTTATGGAGTTCCAAGTGCATGAAAAGCACACAAGTCGCTAGCTTTTCTCTCCTAATACAAAGCTTAATAACCTTCTCAAGATATAGCAAACACATTCAGACAACCTGATAACCAGTGCTGGGTCAAGAGCCTGGAATTAGGCACTTACAAGGATAACTTACAAAGAAACCATCTGCTGAAGTTGTTGACTCCCAGATCATTTTCTCCTGCGAGGAAACCAGCTGCTCCCTGCCAGGTGCTTTTCCCCCCCTCCATCTCCAGAGACTAAAGTTATTTAACAAGAAGGGAAGGAAAAGAGGAAGGTAAAGTAAAAAGGAAACAAACCACAAGATATCACACTCCTGCTAAGGTATTGGCCAGATGTTTAGAGAACTCTGAGCAAACGAGGCTCCAAAGCCTTACTATTCCAACACATCAACCCCCCTGCTTCAGACTCTCACTGTATCGGCCACCAAAACAAAGGCTGAAGAAATCGAAGCTCAGGTCCTGTGCAAAAACGGACACAAGATAAACCAGACCAGAAAAGGGATACATTACCATCCATGCATAACTCCCAGGATTATTTCTGCATCCTAAGTCTATATTTAGAATGAGTTCAGGCAACAGAGCACTTCTCAGGGAAGCATCTGAGTCCTTTAGTCTTTAAATAAACTTTCACAGAGTCTTTCGAATCAGAAACAGAACATTTCTCTCAGAAAAATAAAGATTTTAATGTAATACTTGTCTTTATATATAAGACCGTAAGCTGCTTCTTCTGTCTCTCCTCTCCCCAGTTCAAGTAATATTTATAGGTGCATGTGCCCAGGAATGGAACAGGGCTATCAGACAATTCATGTTCACAGAGATATCCAGACTACCTACAGAAGAGGCACTAAATGTATCAGTCCAAGTGAATGATTAAAGAAAGAAATAGTTGTGCAGAAAGGAACTTTGTAATAATATTACGTTGGCTGGTTTATTTAAAGTAACATTTTAATACAAGTGCTACGACTGCGACTCAGCATTACCTAATGAAGTACATTTTTTATTTCTTACAAAGAATAATCTGTAAAAGTCAAATTAATTACATTTAGTTGGGCACTTTTCCTTATAAATAATTTCAAGTAACAGGTTTACTTTCATTGCATTACATTAGAAACTTAACCCCCTGCTTCATGATTGTGTTTTTAGGCCAAGGTTCTAACGCAGTGCTAGCAGAACAAAGTCCCTGACTGACAAACATGATGACCAGATAAGCTGGCAGGGAAGTGGGAGGGAAAGGTGACAAAAAGCTGACATGTTTAGGAAATATCAATGATAAATTGGCAATTTACAATCACCTATGCTGGAAAAGACCTCCAAGCTCATCTAGGCTCATCTAGTCCAACTTGTATCCCATTGTTTCAGCAGTCTAATGGGTTTTACAAGCACAAGTCCAGATGTATATTTAAGGCTCATTCCTGCAACTGTCTGCACACAAGGGCCTAGAGACCTTTGCATAAACTACAGGACAAGAAGCTGAACTAATCCTATACTCATTTTCCTACTTCACAGTGCAGCTGTTGAGACGAATACCACTTTGGAAGACATAACAAGGGTTCTCAATTTCTCTCATTTAAAGACATGACCCATACGCATAAGGATATGAAAAAACAGTGCACAGACAGCAGTGTCTGTTACATTTTTTTATATAGTGCATTCAGGCAGTGGCATTTTCAGGCTTCTTACTCATGTATTTTCAAGTGGTGTGATGTTCACTTATGGCTCAAGTGGCTTTTCCATCATCTGCAACATGAGTCTTCCAACCATCAATAAACTGTTGAACAGAATATTTGTTAAAACAAAGGAAGAAAGCACGAAGAAACAAAAGAAAGGGATAGGGGAAAACTCTCAAACACCACCACAGAAGAAAACGTTATGATTCATTTAGATGGACTACAACACAAGATTTCATTTCTTACACAACTTACCAAGTAACATTAAAAAAATCCTCATCGCAGAACCACCAATGTTGGAAAAGACCTCCAAGATGATCCAGTCCAACTGTCCACCTACCACCCATATTTCCCCTAACCCATGTCCCTCAGTACAACATCTGAACACTTCTTGAACACAATATAATCAATGTGTAAGTTAAATAAAATGCTTATTCAAAACACAGACAAGAAAAGAAGATGTGAGTACCTGGCACCAGCAATGACCCCAGGCATCACTCTTCTGGAGTTGTAAAATCTCATCCCCATGACAGCAGACAAGGTTCCAGATGCCACTGACAAGAGAAGCCCAGTCAGAACAGTTTCAGGGAAGTGGGTCTGAAGTGCCAGTGCAGCACTATAACCCTGTTACACACTTGCCAGTGCCAACAGGCCTATGTGTCTCTCCTCCCCTCAAAAGCAAATATTTTACTTATTTTTGTTAAGCAGCAGAGCAGCTGTAAGCTTTATGGCAGCTTTGGTAAGCCTGCTCCACTGTCCGTTACAAATGAGTAGATCTAACCAGCTACTAACACTGCCTCATCACCCATAACCTCCACTCCTCTGTGCAAATCACTAACACTCCCTCAATTTCCATTTATTTGCAGAAGGAGGAGGACTATTTCCTTGAATACGGATAACCTAAAAACTGCTAGAAAGCTAGGGTGGTTGATAAAGATTACTGTGGGGAAGTCAAATATTATTACATTTCCTATTTGATGCAGTTTGAGCAATCTAAAGCTCAGCTGGAGCCACAACTGCAAATCACAGGAGGCTGCAGAGAAACAGAATCATGGAATGATCAGAGAATGGTATGGGTAGGAAGGAACCTCTTGAAAGCATCCATTTCCAACGCCCTGCTATAGACAGGGTCACCTCCCAGTAGGCCAGGCTGCTCAACCTCTCATCCATCCTAGCCTTGAATGCTTTCGGGGAAGGAGAATTCACAACCTCTCTGGGCAACCTCTTCCAGTGTCTCACTCACACAAGAAAAAAAATTGTGATATCTCATTTAAGTCTACTCTCTTCCAGTTTAAAACTACTTCCCCTCATCCTTTCACTACCTCATAAAATAGAGCAGATGAATAAGGAATTACACTAAGCCAGGACATCATGCTGCCTTCAAGAGGCCCACTATGTCTACGTCCAAAAATCAAGAAGTACAGAAGCAACTCATCTTTCTCTCACTATACTGTCCAAAAACTAGTGCAGGAGATGGGAGATGCATGGCCATTCCTAGTACACATCACACAGGAAGAGAGAGTGCACAAACCAGCTGTGCTTCACATTGAGCTGTGTGTGTTGCACCTTGTTTTCTACTCACCACACAGTTTGGTCCTCTGCAGTGTTTGCCAGGGATCCAATAAAGCCCTTTAGCACATTGCATGACCAAGATCTGTTGTTTGTAAATAGCCTTAAATCCTTGTAATATCTAAATGCTAATAAATCTTTGATGTGGTTACAGAGCTCTAAGAGTTCAACCTAGTGCACAAAGATGTGACCAATTCCTCACGGGCACTGACCTGACCAGTTACTGAAGCCCTGCAGCAATGGAAGTTCCTTAAGCTTCACCTGATCTCTTCCAATGCCTCCCAACACCTTCCACTATCATTTCATCTTTTTTGCTTCCCTCAAAAGGTTTGCTGCAAGCTAAGCCTACAGCTTCTTGTCCCATCTATTGTAAGCAACAGAAGTGGGACAAGCAATAGAGAACAGTTCTTTCCCTCCTTTTGTAGATTTAAGATTTCTTTCCACAGCATACATTAAAACATTTTTAAGCTTAAAAATGCTCCTTTGCAGCTGTTTTACCACACGATTCCCCCGTGCCTGAATTAGTTTAACACAGTACCTCACCTGGCAGTGGGGATATGTAGCTGCCACCCAGCATGGCTCCCAGAGACAGTACAGCAAGGAGCTAGAGCTCTGGCACAAATGCTTCCCAGCTATGGGCAGGCAGCCCTGCCAATGCTCACAGCACTTGTACAAATAAAGGGACACAAGCTAGCTGGAACAGAATCACAGAATGGCCAGGGTTGGAAGGGACCTCAAGGATCATGAAGCTCCAATCCTCCTACCACATGCAGGGCCACCAACCTCCCCAGACCAGGCTGCACATGGCCCCATCCAACCTGGCCTTGAACACCTCCAGGGATGGGGCATCCACAGCCTCTCTGGGCAGCCTGTTCCAGCACCTCACCACTCTCTCTGTAAATAACTTCTCCCTGACACCCAACCTAAACCTTCCCTCCCTCAATTTAAAACCATTTCCCCTTGTCCTGCTGTTATCAACCCTTGTAAAGAATTGACTCCCTCCTGTTTGTAGGCTCCCTTTAGGTACTGAAGGCTGCAATGAGGTCACCCCACAGCCTTTTTTTCTCCAGGCTGAACAAGCCCAGCTCCCTCAGCTTGCCCTGACAGCAGAGGTGCTCCAGCCGTCAGTGTCAACACTCGGATGCCAAGCACTTACCAAGAGAAAGCCACACGTTCTTCGGCTCTTTGGACTGCTGGTAGGCACCCAGCCCTGCCAGGCCACCGAACAGAAGGCCGGCAGCGAGGGACGGGACGCTGCCTTCAAGAAAGCAAGCAACACAAATCACAACCTGCATTTGTTTTCCAATCAGTAAGACGCTTCGCAGCCCTCCGTCCCCGCGCAGGCAGGCAGCCCTTTCAAAGGGCAGAACCCCGCGCTCCGACCTTCCCTCCTCTCGCCCACCGCTAACACCAGCCTACCTGCCCTGGCGTAGCCGATGATGCCCCCGGAGGCCACCAGCGCCGCGTACCCGAAGCCGACCCAGTCGTACTCCATGTGCGGTGCCCCTCCGCCGCCTGCTGCAGCCTGGGGGCTGTTGGCCACGGCCCGCTCTGACCTTGGCGCGGCGCTTCCCGGCGTGCGGCGGGGCGGAGCGGAGCCTCACGGAGTTCCGGCCGCGGGCGGGAAGCTCAACGCCGCCGCCACCGGCCGTGCCCAGAAATCAGTCGCACAATGATAACTAAAGGGTTTATTTGCAGAAAAGCGTAACATTCGTTTAAAAAAAAAAACCTCAAAAAAAAAAAAAGAAGCGACGCTGTAAATGGCGGCGAGTCAGGAAAAGGAAAGGACACGGAAGTTAGCGGTGGTTTAACGGAGCTGGGAGGAGATGCTGTTCAGGACCCACTGCTTGAGCCAAGGTGCTCCACCGTGCTGCTAGCTGGGTCATCCAACGTGCTAAAATAACCCCAGGAATACAGCCTGTCATCACTGCAGGAAGAACCGTTCAATTCTGCTTCGGAGATTGCATGCTGAAAGGCTAGGTAGGCTTAGGAATGAGTATCAGCTCAGCTATTTGCCTCCCTCTGGTGGCTGCAATCGGGAAACAAAAATAGGGCTGTGAAGCTCAACGTTACCTACACCTATTAACCACTCAAAAGCTTGGGAAGGAGGCTCAGTCCCTGTCAAAACATGACACAAAGTTACAGACTTACTGCCAAAGCTCAACTACTCATCTTTCAGTCGTGGCATCCCTTTTCACTGCTCTCCCCCTCCCTTTGTGTCCTTACATATGATGATCTGAGGACACTGGCAGGCCAAAATTTGTGTGTCAGTCGGTTTCCAGCTCTATTAGTTGGCCAAGTGAAACAAATAAGTAAGACTTCACTTTTCATAAAGAGCTCTTGTGCCTGAAAGCCTATCAGATCTTTCTATCTACAGCCATTTGCATAGCAAAAGGTGCTATACTCCTACAAACCTTGAACCAACAGATGTTTAAAGAACAGACTTTAGAACAGCAGTTCAGCACCTTTCTCCCATTCACCAGTACTTCCCTGGTGAGCTAAGTTTCTGTATCTTTGACCAAACGGCAGCTGCACGCATGGCCACCAATTGTGTTCCACTTTTTAAGGTCTTGTTCACTGTGACTTGTTATCTTTCTGCTTACCAATGCACACTACTTGTCTTCAAGGTAATGCGAAGTCCCAAGGATGCCTGATTCTATATACATTTTTATAGAAACAGGCAGCAATGTCAGTGTAGCAAGAAAAAAAGTTAGGGATGGGCAACAAGCCATAAAAACTGCAAAAGTACAAACAGGGCAGCTGTAAAAAGAGCTGTGCCCACTTGCTTCTTTTTGGAATCTTCCACATTTTGGTCTCCAAATGTGAAGTGAAAAGATAGATTTGCAGACAAAGTGAGACAAGCTGACCTGAGCTGCAACTATTGCACATCCTAAAGAAACCTGTTGGATGAATGTGTTCTTCCAGCAAAACAGAAATTAGATTTCTGGTGCAATTCCGACCACTTTTGTTGATGCATCCTGGGTTTTCACTAGCTAGAAATACCAGTTTGGTTCCACCTGAACTTCACTCTGTGCCAAGGTTCTCTTTCGATGTCTCAGCTCCAGGCACTCCACAGTCAGCGGGTATGTTCTGAGCTCAAACTTATTTGCAAACATACAGGTGGAGTTTAAAAGCCACTTGAGGTCACCTGTTCCATATACACAAATGCCTCTGACATAATGGCCTGCCAAATTAAAAAGAAACATAAAAGAAATGTCAGAACCTGGTTTTCTTTCTACAGGCATGCTTATGGATCCAAAACTTTCTTTGGATAGGTTTTATCTGCAAAGCCACTATAAATCTACACCACGTCCTAAAAGGCTTACTAGACACACAGTGTAAGTATGAACAACAAAACGGCATGAAGGAAATTGCTTATGAGTAAATAATAAGCATAATTCCTGAGTAAGGAGATAGGCCAGAAGTTTTATTACTTGAGACTCTGAGACAAGGCTGAGACACAGCAAAGAGGGAAACTTCCTTCTGTCAGTGAAGAGGAACTGATCCTTTTACTTATGCAAGATTCTCCACTAAATAACATGGGTCGATACTGGTGCAATGTCACTTTTTTTGGTGTAGTCACAATAACGTGAAACCGCTGCAATTTAAGCTGACTGAAATCATCAATGCTTTTTTTTCCTCCTCAACACAAACAATGAATTAAAAGTTTATGAAATACATATTCCATTTTCCTCTCACTTTTACATGTCAAAAGTAGTAGCATCATAGAAAATACAAATCAGTGACCAAAAAAATTGAGTGTGCCATAGAAATTATAACTCACTAATGTTATGCCATGAAGCAATACGAAACAGGAAAACCTCAATATTTAAACATTGTCAGCTTGCAGTTCCTGAGGTTCCCTACCCAGTGTGGCTCCAGCAGGCATCAGTGCCTACATCAGTGGTTCTGTGTCCCCATGCTGGGAGTTACAATTACACATGGGCTATTCCCCATCACCCACGAGATGATTCCCCTACACTTAGAAGAAAACAGTCAGCTAATGCTTGTAAGCATTAAGCGTTGCTACACACCCTCCTTTCTGATGTATTCTATAAATGTTCCTGATGAAGAAGTAACTGTTATAGATTTCTAACTGCTTTTTTTTACGTGGCTACTGTTATTCAGTACCTAAGGACAAAGCTTTCAACGTCTTATTTCTGATCAACTGCTGCTTAAGAACTGACTTGCATTATGTAGGGCTACAGGAAGAAGTCAAGTTTTTCACTAGATGAACAAGAAGAAGAACTGAGGAAGAATATATGCATTACCGTGACAACCTCCATGGACGTCTTCCATATCAATCCACTTCACTGCTTTCAGGTCACCTTCCCACAATGCATTAGGCATAGACCCAGGGACACCTGCAGTTAGGTAACAGAAAATAACACCGTCACTCTTTTGAACATCTGTATGTTTGGTTTTACCTCTCCTCTCTAGGACTTTTCTCCATGGAACTGGGATAAAATGCAGCACCTTCAGCTCTGGGCTATAACAAAAAGATGGCTGCCATAGAATGAAGCACTGGCCTTTGAACACAAGAGATAGTTGGATAGTTCCAGCTAGGAAAACCTCTGCACCTGATCTGCACTGCAATACTGAATTCAGGTCAGTAACGGAAGATCTCCAAAACACAAAACACTTCACTAAGGAAAGCTGGAAAAGCACCAACTTCTCACTGTAACACAAACACTTGCCTATAATTTATTTGCCTGGTTATAAAAAAAGCTCAACATATTTTATTCTTTCCTGTCTAGCAAGCAATTACCATAGTATTGCACCTAAGTTATCAAATGGCAGAAGAGGCAACATGTTGGGAGCCCGAAGTACATCAGCAGGTACAAAAACACAGATGCTGCTTTTGCATTCTTCTAACGAGGCTGAAAACAGGCATGTAACACAATGGAAAGTGAAGCAATGACAGCAAGGTCACAGGCTGCAGTAAGGGAGAGTTTGTGCAAATGCAGCATAGAAATAAAGGAAAGAAACAACTTACTTTCAGAAGACCTTAGGTAGGCAAGGACCTCTAAACAAGATACCCTTGTTTCCATCAACCTTTAACATGAGATCTGGGAAGGTGTGGATCCTGGTTCCACCCCTTCCACTCAGTGCATTGCTTGCACCTGAGCTCCTCTGGGTTGGCCCTGCCTTTCCAGCAGGTGCTCAATCAGTGCTTCAAGCCCTGACAGCATTTCTGCTACAAGACGAAAAGAGTAACTTGCTCAAATGCAAAGAGTTTAGCGTAGGAGTACCTGCAAGTCAGGAGCTTTAACAAGTGCAGTAGAAGTAACAGCACTGACTGGTAGCACTGGTCAGGGAGTAGAGGATTTACATCACTCTGGCTGCTCCCCATGCACTGTGAGGCAGCTGCAAGCTGCAGCTGCAGCTCCCTCCCCTGGCAGTCTCTTGAGTAGCAGCAATATTTTTCATACATACTTATCATACATACATACCAAAAACACAGTAATTTTCCTCAGTTTACAGCAAGCATTTTAAAACTTGAACAAAACACCTTGATTTGGAATTGTAGGACCCGAGTCCATCAAATACAGTTTCAAGAAAAGTAAAGCAGGTATTTTAATCCCCACTTCTGACCTTTTTCTTCAGTAGCAATTAGCCCTCTTTCTGATTTTCATAGTGTCATTTAAACTGTGTATTAATCTAGATGATTTATTTTGCTAGTGAGCTGCAATCCTAACAGAGGTGATCTGCTCTGTAAACCACAATCTCAAATAGCAATGGGAGAACAAATAAGAAGCCACGTTCAGTGCTGAAATGGTAACTGAAATACTCATCAACCCAGTGATAATTCAGTGTTCTATGAAAAGGAAAGATGAAAGTACAGGAAGTTTCTGGTTTTTTTGTTTCCTTCCCCAATGGTATTACGCACAATATCTTCACAGTAACTGCAACCTAACAACTGTTTTGCCTTTGAGCTTGAAGAGAGCACAGTGAAGGGCAAAAGTGAACCCAAAGAAAGGCACTGTGTAATGTCAAGGGTTTATTCACTCTTGTTGTTCTGTTTTTGAGAGATTTGATGAGAGAAAAGTTAAGCATCAGTTTTTGGGTTTTATTTCCTTTTTCTTTCTCTATTTTGGGTTTTTAAGGATAGTGTGTTCCTCATAAGCTAGGGATTTCTTCATAACTATGGATAGGTGCTTTCAAATATTACCACTTGATCCAACAGCAGAAACACTGCAGCAGTTTTCTATAAACAGAGATACCTGCCAGCAGAACATCACAATCTTGTTTCTCCTCCTCTGCGTACTGGCCTATTATCAAATAAAATAACATGCCAAAGTGAGATTTTGTCCCGGGGAAATTTCAGAAGACTGTATTCTATGGCAGAAAGCATTCATGTAGAGACAACACTTGATAAAAGACAAAAAGAGGCAGTGATGGCAGGGGATGTGCTCTTCAAACGGCCTGGGACATGCGTTGTCATTCCAAATTAGAAACCTGTTCACAAGAGCTGGCAGTAAGCGTGGTGTGATGATAAACTCTGGAAAATGCTGAGGCTGCAGGAAGGAAGAAAGATGACAGACAAAACAGGAACAACCTCGGGACATCCACAAAAACAATGGGAGGCACTGCCTTCTAGGAATACAAAATTACTGACTTCACGTTATTCACCAGCTCTCAAATTAAGTAAACTAGGCATTTTTGTAAGTTAATTAAAGAGTAAAGAATAACATAGCTCAGCACTTAAAAAAAAAAAAAAACGGGTTTACCACATTTTCCTTTATATCTTTGTCAAATCCTTACCAATTGATTTCATATTCAGAAGTTGTTCTCGGGACCTTTTGATAAAACACTTTGTCTGAAGAGTTATGCTGGTGGTAAGCATTAATATAAACTCAGGTGTGAGCTCCTCACTCTACTTTTATTCAGCTCTCATCTCACACGGCTTGGATCACCCATGTATGTGACAGGAATCTGAAAGTATCTGCAGCAAAATAAGTGAATTTCAAGTACGCGCCAAGGGAAGAAATGAAAGTAAGTGTTGGAAGGGCTGATGCGTTTTTCCAGTCAGCTGTGGCTGAGTTCACAACACACCAGTGCAGTTCTGGTGGCTGCAAAACACCATTTGGGAAGCAAAGCCCAGTCCTCTCCCCTGAGTAGCATTTCACTGTGCTGAGCACACAGACACAGGTCTGGTGGTAGGAAAAACACCCTCCAGTTTTGAACATTGACCACAACCACAGGGCACAGCAAAATATGTTCCTCAACTAAGATTCTCCTTTCCTCATTTTTTTTTTCTTTTTGCCATTCAAATCCCAATGAGAGTCGATTTGCATGCGCTGGCTCAAAAAAGGAGTCCACTCCCTTTCTTTCTTGCACCAACTACCAGCTATCATCAAGAAAGACATCCCTATCTTACACAAAATGAGCCACTGCTTTTGCATTTCTGTAATCACACATAAGCTCATATTCAGATGGAAATACAATAGGATAAAAGGCTGCCTGATTTACTCTGAAATTTTAAGTCCTTTACCTGTAATTCCAGGATATACCCAATTAAAGCCAAGCTGGTAGTCAGTCTTCAATAGCAATTTGTGCTTCTTCATTTGCAGCTCTCTTTACGGAAGGAGATGAGTTTACACTTCTGCACAATCAACTGATCTAAGCTTTTCTCTTGTGCTTTCTAGGCTGGTGAACAGAAAATCCTTCTGTACCCTCACCCAGCACATCAGGTTGACCAAGACATACTTCATAAATCCACTCAAAACAGTGAAACAGTGCACAAATCACCTTTGGTGATTCTGTAGAACATACTGAAAATGATAGTAACTTGTGCTGGGCTCTGAGGCCAGATATTTATGTTTGGGAAACACTCCAGGCTTGGTGCAAGATATGCACACCCTCTCTTCCATGAACAAAGGTGTGCAGTTGGATCTGAAAATTCACAAATCCCTACAGTGGCTTTTGAAGCACAAATATATTACTTGCAAATACACGTGGAACTAAAGAGCCAATATGACAAAACAGAGTCATTCCTCAAAGCAGGGACTGTCCTTTTCCACTCTTCAAGGACACCAGGAAGACCTTAATATAGACAGCTCAAACATCAATGAAGCTTGCTATAACCTAAGCCTATTTCAGGCCTGTGCCATTGGAGGACAAGGCTACTGCGGCTGAGCAGAAAAGCTATTATTTCACTGGACTCACCATGCTGCCCATTTATAGGTGCCATTCCCACCAAAAGACAGTGTGGCCAAGTGAAGAAATCCCCAGGAAGATAAATTTGGGATTGCTCAGTATATCATCCGTGGTTTGTCACTAGTGTTGCTAACACAGGCTATCACCCATCAGGGTGATCTTCTACATAAACCTGCAGGGGTGATGACAACCTAGTGGTGAACGTCACTGAGAAGTACTTCCATGGTGAAGAGAGCTGTGGTGGACCACCACAATCAGCTGACACTCTGCAATGGAAAGTTGGTGCCATCGGTCTATTGTAGTGAGATTAGTAACAAAACCATCTGGATGCCTAGACAGGACCCCACAGCCTACCTGGGATTCTGTTGAGCGTCACCCAGAAGTGCTCATCGGGGCTGTAGGTGTCCTCAGACCACGCCAGCAAGTCAATGGCACGCGGGTCCTGCAGCACAAACTCTACAAAGGGCCGGGTGACCGCAATGTACGCAGAACCAAAGTAGAGAGTCAGGTTGTGTGGTGGAGGAGCCTTGTGCACCGGGGGGGTGACCAGCCCTGAGACGTTGCTCCCACCCTGCTCCAGGTACATGAAGCGGGTGCGTGCAGTGATGTGTGCTGGTGGCAGCACTCCGGGAGTGATGTTCTTCCCCCTGTAGGCTTTCAGATGCTGGATGATCTCCCAGTTGGTCTTCAAGGGGAAGTCCTGCCCGCAGGCGTTGAGCAGGTAGCGCCAGGGCACGGCCGAGGCCAGCAGGTCCCTCATGCAGTGCAGGTCGGCCCGCAGGCGGGACACACCGCCGTAGACCACCCGCTCCGTGCGGGAGGCGAGGAAGGCGTTGGGGAAGCAGCCCACCAGGCGCCGCACCGCTTGCTGCAAGGCGGCCGGCGCCTTGCCATCCACGTGGATGCAGTAGATGTTTTGGGGCATGTAGACTGCCCTGAAGAGCCGCTCGAAGGTCTCAAACTCCTTGTGCAGGGTGATGATGTAAGCCAGGGGGAAGGCCGCCTCCTCGGCTGACAGCACCCGGGTGATGTAGTGGCTGTGGGACACGTACTTGCTGCAGGAGGAGTCCCTGGCCGCAGGTCGCAGCCCCCCATCCTGCAGCTTGGGAGCCTGCCCGGCCAGCAGCGTGCCACACGCTCGCTCTAGCGCCGCGCCCTCAGCAGAGCTACCAGCGCCTGCCCCGCTCCTTCCACGGCGCCTCAGCAGCGCGGCGGCACCCAGCAGTACCGCAGCCACCGTCAGACTCATCGCTAGCCGACGTCGCCGCATGGCCGCTCGGCACTGCACGGCCCTGACACGGGGAGCGCGGGGCCGGGGCCTGCGGGCTGGAACTGCTGCCAGGCGGCAGGCACTGAGCCCGAGGGGCCGGGCCGGTAAGGCCCGTTAACAGCTCATTGACCCTGGAGGGGGTCTGTCCTTGTAGTGCCATCTAGGCTCTAGAACAGAAAATTTGGTAGGCAAGGGTGGGATTTAAAATAAACTCAAGATTGGGAAGCTTTAAAGCAGACCTCACAACTCGTTGAGAAGGAAATTAAACCCCGGGGAACAGAAGCATGTTGAAAGCTGCTTCATTCAAGGCAGCAGTCTGAATTAAGGCACTGCTGTTCAGGACATGCTCTTTTTTCCAGTATCCGTGGCTCTGGTGTCTTCCGGTGCCGCTGTCCAGGCAGGCAGCTGGCTGCAGGGTTTGTCTCTCATCACGTGCAACACAGCTTTCATTGTGGTCAGATGAGTTTGTGTTTAGATGAAAACACTTCTTTAAAGTGCTGTAATTCTGCTTCTGCTTTCCAAGGAGCTGCCCATTGAACCCTGTTACACCAGTGTGTGATAGATACGAAGATACTGGGGAATCAGGCAAAGGAGTGCAAGTCCATTTATTAGCTGTGGCTTTTCAGAAATCCTTGAAGTCATGTCTTTCCTTACTCTGTCATCACTATGTAGTATTTTAGTGCAAAGCAAAAGATTGGTTGTAAAGCAGTTTGGCTTCAGTAGGAGAAAATTTGCACTAAAGCAACACTTAAATTAACAGCTAAAGACTGCATCTAGACTTAACCATATTTTAATCCTATATTTTGTGATAAACTGTAATGCCTAAATGGAGGATACAGGACAAGAATATTTTTTCTGGAAATTCTGCCGTAAGGCAGGTGTATTTGCTGCATTGCAACATCTTCCTTAAGCAGATCTGGCAAGAGACAAAGGTTTTGATTATGAGATTGCAACAGCTTTGTGGGCATAAGACTCAATAACAGTTACAGGAAAATCTCTTTTTTTTATACCTTATTTCTACAAGAAGTGTTTGCTCAAACAGGAAACCTCATTAAAGAATGGAAAATGCAAACAAAAGCACAAGTGTTAGTTATATGAGTAATGCTGCAGACATAGATACAAAATACTTCCTTCTAGAGAGCATCGCTTATTCAACTAGCGTCACTGACTGGAATCATATAAAAAGCTTCTGCCTTTCTGTCTACATGTGTCTTTTGAAGGGTGGGCATTAATGTAAAGAAAAGAAAAGAAACAATTCTGGGAGGCAAAACTCAACCACAGTGGCACATTAGTATGATGCACTGTTAAAAAGGTCATTGCAAGAGTCTCTCTAGAAACAATGGAGGAATCGAGAGTTACCAAAGTAGTAATGAGTGATTAAGTTGCTGTAGTGAGAAGCTTGGTGTGTGATAAATTATATAGAGAGATGGAAAAAAACAACAAACAACAAACCACAACAACAAAGTAGGCCTATTTGTTGAAACTTCAGTTTATCTGCAGCAGTAATTCCAGAGTCACGTGAGAGCTGGTGGCTCTCAAGGAACATCTTGTTCACGTCCTTTGGTTGTGGGTATGAGACAAGAATAATACCAGAAAATGCTGGGTAGCAATGCTAACACATTAAGGAACCACATCAACCAGTTCTTTGTTTTTAAATTTTTTATGTGACTTTGCTTGCACAAAGAGAACTCCCATCTGCCTTGGTTGTATCCTTAGCTTGACTCACAGCATTAGCTGCCACATGTCTGCTATTACCTGAGGTATACTGTATGCCAACTGTCCTTATTTTTCTGTCTGCTATTCAGCTCCTAACTGAAATATTGCCATCAGGATGGTGCAGATGTACTTTTGAAATCTGAGAGTGATTTAAAACACTACTTGCTAATAAAAGTATCCATCCTTTTCATTACATCCCAATCATTGACATATGAGCACAAATGACATAGGAAGCCTTTCTTTTTTTCTTTCCTCTCTCTGGGACGCATACTCACAGCTGTAAGCTTCTTGCACAAATGAGGAATAAAAGCGATTCTGGCCTAGCATTTTCCCTGCAAACCCCCCGACTTCCCTTACTACAGGTGACCATTCACCAATTCTGTGGAAGGATGTACATGACCAAGGGATGTCCCAGCCTTGGGTATTCCAGGTCAGATGTTAGTCTGCCTCTTTCAGGCAAAGATCTAGAAGTAAAGGCTTTCATATCAGGCACTTCTATTTCAAAAGATCTTTAAATTCATACATTTTGTGTATACGTTTTCTCATGTAAAGCTGAAGAGAAGTGAAAGAGCAGAGGAAATTTCCTCTTTTGGGTTCAATGAACATTTAGATCTCACCCTTAGTAAAGAAACGGCACATCAAGATGCTATCATTAAGATGTTTTAGGAATTTCTTGGACCTCTACGTGTTAGCTGTGTGGCATTTCCAATTGCACCTGGGAAGTTGAAGTCACCCTTAAACTTAAGGGTGGTTGATCTAGAGCTATATCCTTGTTCCTTAATGAATAGTTCATCAGTGTCATCATCCTGGCTGGGTAGCCTATAGCAGGGGAAAAGCGATATCCACTTTATTTGCTCAGAGCTCCCAACCATGCAATTGTCAGCTACGAGCTCAGTAAAGCCCAGCTCCTTCTTCACAGTCATTCCCAGCATCACCTGCCCTGCCTGTCCCTACTGAAGGGCTCAGTGTTGTCCATCATGACACACCAGTTACAGGGCTCTGCCCACCAGGTTTTGCTTATGCCAATGATATCATTGCTCGTGGACTGAAACAAGGCTTTGACTCCTCTTGTTTGTTCCTCATTGGTATAGAAACATCTCAAATTTTCTTCCTTGTACCCAGCACTTCAAGTGCAGAGTGAAGGTTCTCACTGGCATGCAGTCCCTCAAATTTTGAAATGCCATCCAATAGCTTATCACAGGCAAGTCTGATTTCATCCCTTTCCCCCTTCAAATCTAGTTCTATCAGTCTAGCTCTGTCAATCGGCCCCATTAATTCTTGTGCAGAAATCCTATTCCCCCTCTATGAAAGATGCATCCCATCAGCTGCCAGCAGCCCCGATATTGTGTAGATCATCTCATGATAGAGAAACCCAAAACTGTGCCAATGATACCAGCCTCAGAGCCATGTGTGGATCAGCTGGCTCTGCCTGTTCCTCTCAGTACTGTTCCCGGCAACTGGAAGGATGATTCTATGATTCTATTCAGCGATGTATACTTAATTAAAGTCAGTCTGAAGTGCGTGTGTATGTTGTGTGTACACCCATTACTGTGGGCATGTATCCTCAGGAAACTAAACCGAAGGTGTGCTCACCTGGGATCCTGTTGAGCGTCACCCAGAAGTGCTCATCGGGGCTGTAGGTGTCCTCAGACCACGCCAGCAAGTCAATGGCACGCGGGTCCTGCAGCACAAACTCTACAAAGGGCCGGGTGACCGCAATGTACGCAGAACCAAAGTAGAGGGTCAGGTTGTGTGGTGGAGGAGCCTTGCGTACAAACGTCGGCAGCATGAAGGAAAAGAAAGAATATAATTGCTCCCGGTGCACATACTTGGTGCGTGCAGTGATGTGTGCTGGTGGCAGCACTCCGGGAGTGATGTTCTTCCCCCTGTAGGCTTTCAGATGCTGGATGATCTCCCAGTTGGTCTTCAAGGGGAAGTCCTGCCCGCAGGCGTTGAGCAGGTAGCGCCAGGGCACGGCCGAGGCCAGCAGGTCCCTCATGCAGTGCAGGTCGGCCCGCAGGCGGGACACACCGCCGTAGACCACCCGCTCCGTGCGGGAGGCGAGGAAGGCGTTGGGGAAGCAGCCCACCAGGCGCCGCACCGCTTGCTGCAAGGCGGCCGGCGCCTTGCCATCCACGTGGATGCAGTAGACGTTTTGGGGCATGTAGACTGCCCTGAAGAGCCGCTCGAAGGTCTCAAACTCCTTGTGCAGGGTGATGATGTAGGCCAGGGGGAAGGCCGCCTCCTCGGCTGACAGCACCCGGGTGATGTAGTGATTCTGTGTGATGTACTCAGTGCAATTGAATATTCCGAAGGATGTTTTTAAAGCATTTTCCTTCAGAAAGGACACCTTATCTTTAGTAAGTGCTTTACAGTCTTCTACTAAAGTTGAACTCATTGAGAACTTGAGCCTTCTGAGAGATTTTTGTGCATGTATAGTAATGGCATAGAAAACAAATGGAAGGGAAACACTGAGAATCAGGACGACAAAGAAATAATATCTGAGTACACTCATTGCTGCTTGAAAAAGAAGTCACATGTGAAACCCTACAAGAAGGTCAGATCAGACACCCCAAAGAGTTAATTTCATTTTCTGTTCTTGGTTCCTGCTGGAGAATGTATCCATCAGGTCAATGCACAGTATCCAGCTGATGTCTTGATTTTAACATAGATCTGTAGTCATCATTGATGTGGGAGCACCACGAGTAAAGAACGTGTTGTTGACAGAAGTTCCTCCACAGCACCCTCAAGATTAAACAGACATATCACATAATTACCGACTTAAATAATTATCATGCACTTTGTTACCTCTGAATACAATTTGTGGCTTTGCTCTTAATTGCTCCCTCTTCCCTCTCCTTTAAAGAAGTAGCCAGCCATGAAATACCTATGTGTGCAATATAACAGAAAAAAAACCCTCAGATTTACCTTTTCTATAACTTATTTCTTCTTCGCTTATAGGAACTTTTTTCTGTCCTATCCAAGTTTCATCAATCATTGCTGCTCAAGAATTATGAAAGGTTTGTGCAGCACACCATTAAGGCTATCAACACTCGTTTGCATGAAGCCTAAGAATCTTTTTGCCTCTGTCTAGAATTACATCAGAACAATATTGAAGCAATGTTTTTATTCATTTGTACGTTTGAAACCTGCAAAATTTTTTCTGTCGTGTATTAGTTGTGTTGAGCTCCTGGCTTACACACATTACAAGGATCCAGGCTTGGTTCCTACTATTGAAACTATTTAAACTAACCTTTGTTTTCCTAACAAGACATTCTTGTTTCTGAGAACCATGCATGCATCAGGTACATTGCCATACTCATGCAGTCAGAGATTGTGGCGTGACTCTGCCTGAGGTGAAATGACTGGTAACACTCCCTTCCAACTGTGAGTCTGCTAATGTGGATCTTCTGACATGAAACAGGACTTCTTGGGGATTTAAGCTTTTTCCAACATCATGTTGTTTTGATCCAACATCAGATAACACTGCAACAATGTCAGATTATCTGAGATTGCACCAATAAATACTTTGATTAGGCAATCCAATGTGCTACAGTGCAAAGGTGGAAATACCATCCAACTTGTGTAGACAGTCTATCTCAGGCACTGGTAGATTCTTCTTGGTGCCCTCTGGGGCTGTTTCTTCCCATCCTGATCCCAAACACTCAGTTCAAAGGTACTGAGGACTGCAGTGGCTTCAGCCCCATCAGGTACAGTGATAAACTGTAACAGAAGATACTTGTGCCCAGAATGTCCCTCAGAAGGTTCACCAATGCAGAACACTGGACAGAACTGGAAGTTAAGCTTGCTCATATATTGCAGTTTCTTCAAGAGCAACTTCTCTCTGGGGAGTCAAGAATGAGTAGGAGCAGTCATGGTCATGCTGAGCTTCTTCCAGTGTAGTCTTCTTCACCAACACTTGGCTCTGATGGAGACAGAGGTCTGGAATGGAGGTGTGCAAAAGTCCCAGGCAATAATGGAGAACTGCCAGACGCTGCCAAGAAGTCAACTGGAAAATGCCATCACAGCCCAACAGTAGAGCTTGTTAAGGGAGAATTCAGAGAGGTGAATACTTAGCTGACATCATTGTCCAACTCTAGCAAAGAAATACACAGCAAATATCACCGTGAAGGAAAATTCACACATGATTAGTGAATGCTGTCCCAGGGTGCACAGACCTGCCCAGACCTCAAAACACTGCTACTTCCTAATAATTTGTTGTAGGAGTAAACACAGACAAACACCTCAGTAACACGAACGGGGAGAAGGTGTGTCAGTTGTTCTGCAGGAGTCAGGATTTCCTTGGGGATATCTCAGTTTACGGCAGAGAGCTCAGGCAACTTTTCCAAAGTACCAAAGGTTGAGATCCTCCAGAGTGTTTGGGTTTTGTTGAAACTCAGCCCAGGTGCTTCTAAAAGAGGAGGACTTAAGAACTATGTATATTTATGTATACATGTATCTGCATGTATCTGAAAATCTGAAAACATATATGCAAATAATTGCCGTGGAAATCCAAGCTATCAAAAGTATTTGTTTTGTCTTGTTTTTGCTTTGTTTGTTTCATTTTTGCTTCTAACTAGTTCTACCTTGTGATGATTCCTCTGAAATAATAGCCATACCTTGGGTTACAGGCAGAAATCACACACATGTTCATGCACACAGAGAGGAAGGAAATGAAGAAGTAAAGCACTCAAGCCACATGAGCAACTGCAATGGAAAAAACCATGATATCTATGTTTTCTCATGGCGTGGGTTGTATTCGACCTTGGCATATTTTGAATGTGAAAACAGAGTTACTGGGCAGAAGAGATCAACTATACTATGCATTTCAAGAGGCTATGTAGGAGGAGTGCTGGTAGAACTAAATCTGCTGCTGAATTAGATCTGCAGCACAGCTTCTTTTTATTGTTCCCTGGACCTTCATTGTGGCAATTCTCATTGCAGCATTAAAGAAGATTTTAGTACAGTTCACACAGTGGAAACACACTCAGCAGTAAGATTAGCTATTGAAATGACTTCCCTGGGGATGAATGGGAACAGACCTTTCCAGTCACCAAGGGTTTTTATCCTAGGAATGTAGTTAGCATTTAGTAAAATGCTTCTGGCTTAATCAATATAGGTAATTGGTTTCAGCTAATTTGCTAGCAAATTAAAAAGCAAGGTGCATGGGCTTTGCACATCATGATTGCAAATTCCTATTTGGCCCTGGTTAGTAGTGACAAACATTACATATTCTACATCTGTTTGGGGTTATCTGACATTTTCTATTATGTTGTTAGGACAGAAATATCTGTATCACGACATTCATTTTCACATCCCTCATACACAAAGCTGGCAGACTGAAGCAGCACCAGTTAAAAATCTAGAGAGGCTACTGCAAGCAAGCAATTTCTCCTCACTGTTTTGGGGGTTTTTTTCGGGTTTTTTTTTGGTTCAGATCCTCTGAACCGGGTAACCACGTCCTCTGCACATAAAGGCACTCCCCATCCTTTGCTCCTCGCATCAGAATGAAACTCCCTCAGTCTTGTGCTGTTCCTAAGTGCCATGCAATGTGCACAGTCTCCACAAAGCTCTTGAAACAGCTCTGCCTGGCAGTGTAGTCCTCTATCCTGTGCCTTATATGCCCTGCCTGAGCTAGAAGGTGTGTATCCACAGTGTAACACAGGAAAGGAGAAAACAGAGTCAGGCAGAGGAACAGTTGGAGTTTCTTTCTATCTGCCCTCTCCTGCCCTCCCTTCTCTGCTGTTCAGAGCATTCCCACACCTGCCAGCCAGCAATAAAGTGGCTGTTCAAAAGGAAGAAAGCACAAACCTACCTGAAAAGGAGCTCCGAGGCAGGCACAGGGCTGACACCGGACAGTCACATCGCGGCAGTGCTTGCAGCGAGTGGGAGGAGAGACGAAGTGACACATCGAGGGAAATGCTAGCTCAGCTCACATGGTTCACTAAAACTATCAAGTAATCTAATCACATGCAGCACATGAGCACATCTGTCTGCACAAACACCAAAGGCCAGACAGCGCACGGTCTCATCTGATATCATCTTGCAGTGCTCCCAGGCTTCAAACACAGAGCCTCTGACGTTGCGGGAACTTCATTTTTGGCCTGAATTTGCAGCAGGCTTTTCAATACAAAGAAAGCAGAAGCGTGTCAGGTTCTCTGGTCTCCAGCACAGCACACAATTCTCAACTTAAACACATGACTGCTCCAATGCAGAGTGCTTTTCTGCTCCCTTTTCCAATTAATTTCCAGCGGGGACCTGTACTTACCTGTGTGAAAAACCACCCCTCACCAGCTGCTCAGGAGCAGCAGCACTGCATCCTCCTCACTGTTCATCTATCCTCTTGTGCAGGAAAAGCGAGTTGTAATTAAATATGTTCCAATAGAGGACAGGCTAGCTGTGATGGAGAAATTGGTGTTCTTTTGTTAAATACAACTGCATTTTATAGATTATACTGGTAGAGACAAGGCATGGAGATAAGGCTGTTTCGTAATGCAGATTGATGTGCATAACAGCAGAGCACAAATGTACTCATGCTGCTATTATTTGCACTAGAGGAGTGCCCAAAGATGGCTCACAATGGATTTCGCAAACATTTGGGTGTTTGCTAACTTCACGAATATGAACCTTTGGGAGCATCAAGTCTGGCCACTGGGGCTTTCAGATTTTGTCTTCTACTGAGCACTACCACTTACGGATGTGATCCAAAGCCAGCCATAGGCCTGGCTTACTGGAGAAAAATTAATTCCAAGATGCATAGTGTTAAGCTTCAGCTGCCTGCGCAAACTGGGAGTCTGTCCTCAGCTATAGGTGCCCCAGCAGTCACGGGAAGAACACGACTCCACCTGCAGGCTGTGAGCAAGCTGATCTGCAAAGCACAGCTGCCCACAGCTTGCTGCCTGCATTGCTCACAGTTCTGGCTCTGCGACTTGTTGCTGGGTGCAAAACAAGCAGAAAGCCCGTGAAGATCTGGAAAATATCTGTCAGGAATGACTGAAATAATATGTACTTATCTAGTGGGGAAAAAAAAAATCAGAAAAACCAGAAAGTCTTTGAACATTGTGTTTGTATATATATATATATAATTTGTATATATATAAAAATTTGGAGCAAAGCCTGATGCAAATATGAAAGGGAGTAGCTGATTCTGACAGGCTGAGAGAGCTTGGGCTGTTCAGCCTGGAGAAGAGAAGGCTCCAGGGAGACCTGAGAGCAGTCTTTTATTATCTAAAGTGGAGCTGTAAGGAAGAAGGGGACAGACTCTTCAGTAGAGTCTGTTGTGATGGGACAAAGGGAAATGGTTTCAAACTAAAAGAGAGGAGATTTAAGCTGGATATGAGGAAGAAGTATTTTACCATAAGGGTGGTGAGGCACTGGCACAGGTTGTCCAGAGAGGCGGTGGATGCCCCGTCCCTGGAGACACTCAGGGTGAGGCTGGATGGAGCTCTGAGCAACCCGATGTAAGTGTCCCTGTTCATGGCAGGGGAGCTGAACTAGATGGCCTTTAAGGGTCCCTTCCAACTCAAGTGATTTTATGATTCTCCGCATTCTCTGTGGATAGAAGAACTAATCAGCATAGATAGCATCAGTGGAGGTGAAGATCAGACATTAGAGAAGCTTTGTAGTGCTAAGCAGGTGACTGTAGATTAGATGGTCTGAAGAGGCTGGAATTTTCTTTTGATGGTTTTGAGGAGCAGGTTGGGCACAGCTTTTTCAGCTGCTTTACAGGTCATACTGGTCCAGACCTGGTGATTTTCTAGCTCCTTTCCTTCTCTATTTCCTCTGATTGTTTCTATTACTGTATCACCTTGCTTGGCTTTAGCTGGCCTAGGGATCCTGTCACACCCAGGAATTGTAAGAAAACACTAACAAAAGAACTCTGTCATCATTTAGAAATAGGCTTGTCATCTCTTCTAGTTACCATTACACTGCAACTTTGGTAAGCTCAAAATAGTCCAGGAGCACTCAGGAAGGAAAAAGTGCTTGTGCAATAATTTTGTGATTGACCCTAAATAGGAAGGAAGAGCACTTGAATTATAAATCTGTGGCAGTTGACTTTTTGGCATGTGTTCCACCTCTCATATCTTTTCACACAAAACAGTTTGATGCCTGTTTCATCTTTTTACTCTTCCAGTGACTTGTCTTTCAGAGGTTCCTGGTAGGCACCTGTTGCCCTTTGAGAGTCTTTCTTACCAGGTCAGACCCGTTATTAAGCCTTGAAAAAGAACTTGATGAAATTCCTGCACAAGCCATACTTATGAGTCTCTGTTTCAGAAGCTGCAAGTTTTCTGTAGCTAAAGGATAAGCTTTGAGGGGTGGATTTTTGGGGAGTTTCTTGGGTTTGTCTGTAGTTCAGATATTTCCACTCCATTTCTGCACAGGAGACAGCCATGGCTGCTAGAGCCTGCCAGCTTCTTGGTGAGTCATGATGAGGCACCCGCAAATGGCAAACGTTTCTGTGGCCAGTGACAAAGGCTGGCTGTCAAACTGTGGAGGAAGTTGGCCTGTATGACACAGCTGCAGTTTTCTTCCCAGAAGTGAAAACAGCTCCTTTTGCTGCACCTAAGTATCACTTTCTTAAGGCTTGTCTTGGGTTTATAAGCTTCCCTTGCCTCATTTTCCTTTCAGAGGCTTTACTGTATGTCAAGGTCTCCTCTATATAACCAAGAGTCTGGGTAAAGCAAACTGTGCTGGTAGTCTGCTGGTAATCTCACACTGTAAGCCCCAAACTTGTGCTTCTGACCTGAAGACAGTCTTCCTTTTTCCCCCACTGTCTTTGCCATTCACACCAACTAACCAGTATCACCCTCTTCAGAACCAGTCTACTTCAGGCTCTATATCACGTCCATTCCTATGCCTTTTTCCCAATTCTCTGCTAGTTCTGCTGTCTTACACCCAAAACAGCACTGAGCTAAAGCCACCAGCTCCCAGATGCTTCTCATTCCCAAGCACCTTTCTGTTTGCCCTTGCTTTGGGTGGAGGCTAGTGCTCATTTTGTCTCTTGTTCTGCAGCTTACACAATCATTTTATGGCTCTCTTATGGGAAGGGCAGTGACTGCAATTGCCAGGCCCCATGAGGTCCAAAGCAGCCCCTGATGGTATTTCTGAAGCTGAGACAATCTGGTCTCCTTGTATTGGGTCACTAGAGGTTATCAGACGGTTAGAAGAGTACTGGAAACCTCTTTTGCACAATATCACATTCCTTAGCTTCTTAAAAATCCCTTCCAACCCAAACCATTCTATGATTTTATGATTCTCAGCTTCTGCAGCCAGACTCTTCTTGTCTGGTCCCTTCCAGCAAAACTGCCTTTCTCAGACCAGGATTTTCTTACTGGATTTGCCACTTACCACACACACCTGGCAGCTGGAACCCCAACATGGGTTTTCAAAGTCTTGTAATGAGTTAGTTAATGGCAATTTCTCGGGTCTTTTTGCAGCTTGCCTGGATCCCATTTAACATGTAGCTCCACTTTGCTGTCTCACAACTCTCCTAGCATCTTTCTCCTGTTCTACTTTGGCACAAATTCTCTTACTTACAGCTTCCTGCCTGTTGCTCACATTCCTAATGCTCCTTGGCCTGAACCCTTGGCTTATGTTCGGGATAGTTTTTCCTATACTCCTTTTTATTTGCAAAGAATGTGTGGAAAAGCCTGTTTTCCCCAAGCCTACAGCAAGCAGCAGCAGCAGCAGAGCATACTCCTAACAGAATGAATGGTAGTGACTTCAAGCTGTGGCGGGGGAAGTTGATACAGGCTGGTTTGTTTAGCAATAGGGATCAGTATATATTAGTTTAAAGACCAATATATTAATTTAGCAAGAAGAATCAAGTACTAATGATTGAAGAATCAAGTACTAATGATCAAGTACTACTGAGTACTAATTCTAAAACTTTCTGTTTCAATTTTGCTTGGTGTGTGAACAGCCTAATTCTGCTTCACAAGAAGCACTGGAATCATAATACACTACTTATCTCTGCATTTCACCAGGTACAAGGACATTTTCTTTGGATTTTCACATGTACTGTTTTGGAAGTTACTCATGGCCTAACAAGTAGTGGGAATTTGCCAAGCTGGGGAAAAACAGCTAAATGTCAGCCAAAAGCCTCAGTGGTGAAATTGATGGTGGACAAAAATGAGGATGAGGTAAGTGGGGGTACGACCACCCTGGATGCTACCATGCAAGCCCAGAGGGACATTTAGCATATACCAATAGAAAAGAATGAATATGAATGCCAGTGTACTGCATATGTAGGTCTTAACTGTTTACATTTAAATGTAGAACCTGAACTCTGAGAGTGTGCTTGTTTATCAAGTCGCCCAGTAGGTATCATGAGGAATAAAGGATTCTTTCTGTCTAACACCACATTGGAGTTAGAGAATTTTCTTGCTGGATTTGGGATGACAAGGTTCAGGTTGGATATTAGGGAAAATTTCTTCTTATGAAGAGTTGTGAGGCACTGGCACAGGCTGCCAAGGGAGGTGTTGGAGTCACCGTCCCTGGAGGTGTTTAAGGGTAGATGTAGCACTGAGGGACATGGATAGAGGGCATGGCAGGGAAGGGTTGGTGGTTGGACTAGATGAGCTCAGTGATCTTTCCAACCTTAACGATTCTATAAATCTCAGCAAGCTCCCTCTACTCACAGGTGCACTGAAGAAGTAGCTGGGATATTGATAAGAGAGAGAACTGTTCCTGAATACACAGCAAGCACATCCATCACAGGAAGACACTGGAGTGTGAGTGATTGGAGGTTGGAAGAGTGTGAGGAAATGTGCTGGGTTTGCTTGCCCTGCTTCCTTGCTTTTTCATAGCCCTCAGCTTCCAATATCTGCATGGGACACCTCAGCTGAATCCATGCACCTGCATTCAGACTGTCCCAGCCCAAGAATTTCATCC